GCCCCCCCAGCCGGGCAGCCAGGACTGGCCCGTCCCCGCCTTTCAGTCCGGTGTCTTTGCCGACCCGCTGGGCGTCTCGCCGTCGGGGAACTGCGCCTACAGCCCCCCGGGGTACGGGGGCACAGCGGGCCCGAGCGGGGCCCCGCCGGACTGCGTGGCGCTGGAGCTGGGCGAGGAGAGCCCCCCCAGCGCCCCCCACCCCGCCGGTGCCAGCCCCCCGCCTCAGCGCCACCCGTGGGCCTCCAACAGCTCCTCCAACAACAACATCGGCAGCGGCAGCCCCCGCGAGCCCCCGGCCGGCGACAGCTGGTGCTACCGCCGCATGATCACCTTCCGCGGGCTCATGGCCAAGCCGCTGGGCACGGTGCCCCGCGGCCAGCCCCAGCTCGGGGGGTCCCCGCCGGGACGCGACTTCCTCCGCCCGCGGCAGGATCAGCCCCCCGCCATGGCCGGCGGCTCCTCCTCCCCGTGCCGCTCGCCCTCCCCGCGGCGGCAGGCCTGGCACGGCCGTGACTCATCACCCTGCGGGCCCGCGCAGCCCGGCACGCTGGCGGAGAGCCCCGCCGCGCCCTGGGGCCCCGCCGCAGCCCCGCCACCTGCGCCGGGGGCCCCGCGCGATGCCCACCCTGAGGAGAGCTCGGCCGGGGACAGCCCTGCCCGCAGCCCGCTGCCCCCCGCCGCCGCGGGGCCGGGGGAAGCCGCCTCCCCCACGGCTGGCACGGCCGCCCCGAGCCCCGGCCCCCCCGGCGAGCCCGGCGCGGACGGCGCCCAGCCCACAGCGGAGCCCGCCGAGGCGCCCGCGGAGGCCGTGGCCGAGAGCGGCGCCTGTGCCGCCAGCGACGCCGACCGGACGCCGGACAAGACCTTCTCCAGCAGCAGCTTCCCCAGCGTGGACGAGGGCAGCGACGAGGACACGGCCGAGCTGACCTCCGGCGTCTTCACCGACTTCTCCGGGGAATACACGGAGCGGGCGGAGGCGGCCCCGGCGCTCAGGTCCCTGCAGAAGCAGGTGGGGACGCCGGACTCGCTGGAGTCGCTGGACATCCCCTCCACGGCCAGCTCCTGCGAGGTGCTCAGCCCCGGCGCCTTCGTGCCCGCCGGCCAGGCCCGGGCCCTCGACAGCGGCTACGACACCGAGAACAACGAGTCCCCCGAGTTCGTGCTCAAAGAGCCCCACGAGTCCCGAGAGCCCGAGGCCTTCAGCCAGCTGGGCAAGCCTCCCCCGGGGCTGCCGGGGGGCGAGGGCGAGGCTGCGGCCCCCGAAACGCGGCTGCCCAGCGGCCCGGGGGCCGAGCTGGCCGGCCTGGCCGAGAAGAGCCCCTACCGCGACTCTGCCTATTTCTCCGACTGCGACGCCGAGGCCGAGCGTGGCCACAAGGACGAGGGGGACAGCGATGGGTCCCGCACCCCGGAGGCAGAGGAGGGTCCCCGCTCCCCTTTGCAGGACATAGGGCGAGGAGAGGACCCGCTGCACCCGCCGGGGGCACCCGGCAGCCCCCCGGCAGCGCCTAGCGTCGCGGTGCCCACGCCAGCAGCTGTGGCTTTGGAGGGGGACTGGGTGGCGACAGGGGCCGGGAGCTCACTGGAGCAGGTGCCTGGCACCGAGCAGAGCCCCGCTGGCACGGGGCTGGTGCCGGGCAGTCCCCCACGCCCTGACACAGACACCTGTCCCCCCGGCTCTGTGACCCCCAAGACTTTCCTCTTGACCCCGGTGCCAGTGAGCCCTGGGGAGCCATCAGCTGTTGGAGGGGCCTGCGTGTCCGAGGGCGTCCCTGGACTTGGGGGGGCCACAGCGGGGGACAAACAGACTGTGACCCCCGCGCTGGGTCTTGGGGAGCGGGGGCTGTCCCTGGAGGGCACCAGGGCGGGCGATGCGCCGGGGGGTCCCAGCACTCTGGTCCCCGGGGGCGAATCACTGCCGAGTCTCTCCCCGGCCCCGGCTGCCCCCGAGCGCCGTGAGGAGCCAGAGGAGGAGGAGGAGGACACAGAAGACAGCGACGAGTCGGATGAGGAGCTACGCTGCTACAACATCCAGGAGCAGAGCGAGGAGAGCGAGGAGGAGCCGGCGGCCGTGCCCATCGTGGTGGCCGAGAGCCAGAGCGGCCGGAACCTGCGCAGCCTCCTCAAGATGCCCAGCCTGCTGTCCGAGTCCTTCTGCGAGGACCTGGAGCGCAAGAAAAAGGCCGTCTCCTTCTACGACGATGTGACCATCTACCTCTTCGACCAGGTGGGTGCCCTGGGAGACAGAGCCAGCTACTGGGAATGGCTCCATGCCATTTTAGTGGTAGGAGCTGCCTCCAGCCAAGCCCCCACTGAGGTTTCTTCCTGTTTCCCCATCCTCAGGAAAGCCCCACGCGGGAGCTGGCTGAGCAGAGCTTTCCAGAGCCCACCCTGCCTTCGGGGCAGCCCCCCTCGCCTTCGGGGCAGCCCCCTGCCAGTGGCAGCCCCCCCAGCCCCACGGACAGGCTCGGAGCTTCCGATGACTCTTCAGACGGCAACGCCTCGGAAGAGAGTAAGAGACTAGGAGCTCGTGGGGCTGGTGATTGTGGGGTGGTGGCAGCAGTTATGGGATCGTGAAGAGGCAATTATAGGGTCATGGGGACAGCAGTTATGGCATGATGGAGGGCCACTTATGGGGTGATGGGGTTAGAGGTTGTGGGGCTCACAGTGGGCTCGGCCCCCTCACTTTGTATCCCAGGCGGTGGCTTTGAGTGGGATGACGACTTCCCACTGATGCCAGTGAAGCAGTCCCTGGTGGCCTCGCTGCCGGGGACGCCAGCAGAGCCCCCCGCGGCCATGCCCGCCCTGGTGCCGGCGCAGAAACAGGTGCTGCCCATCCAGTTCTCCCGGTTCACGGTCTCACCTGCCCCGGTGTCCCGGTTCTCCATCACCCACGTCTCCGACTCAGACATGGACTCCATAGGAGGTGAGTCCCCCTCGGGATGCTGCTCTGTGGGTGCCCAGAGCAGCCGTGTCCCAGTGCCATCCACGCTGTGAACCACGGGACACCGTGTCCCTGTGTCCCATGGGGACGCTCGCCCCTGCGAAGGGCTGGATGTCCCGTGGGGGTACGGGATCCTCTCATGGCTCTCTCTGCTCGTTGCAGGCAGCAGCGAAGACGGTGACCGGGAGTGAGCCTGCCGGGACACAGCCGGCATTGCCCTGGCACCGGGGCGGCGCGGGCCGGCGGGGCCGGCGCGGGGGCCGCCCGTGGGCTCCCAGATCCCGCTCGGCAGTTTTTAGGCAGATTTTATCGCAAGGAACTCGTTTGCTGCTTCGAGTGGGAGCGGGGCCGGCGCGGCCCCCGCGGGGCCAGGCGGTGGGTGACGGTGACGCCGTGCGCGTGTGCGGGTGGCTGTGAGCGTGCGTGTAAAATAGACACTTATATATATATATATACATATATATATATAAATTATAGCGTTTCAAGGGTAGTGCCCTGACCTTGCTAACATTTGCGGAGTGTCCTCCCCAGTGAAGTTCCCCCTTGGCTTCTTGCCTACATGTGCTCCCCGAGGCAGTTTGTCCCCACACCCCTTCTCCCCCGGGCTGTCCCCCTCCCTGTGCCCTGTGCTCAGTCTTGCACCTTGTGGCAGCTTGGCTGTCCCACAGCGGCCCCATGGCTGCCCCAGAGGCACTCCACAACATTCCTGACCAAGGGGCCACTGGCTGCTGCCAGTCTGGATGTCACGTCCTGTGCCAGGGGTGCCACCAGCTACCCAGAGTTGTCCCCATGGCTTTGGAGCTCCCCTCCCTTGGTTTGCAGGGATCAGTCCCAGCTGGGGACCCTGAGGACTGCTGGGACCCTTGCCCATTGTAGTGGGGAGCTGGTTGTGGAGGGAGTATCCCCCACCAGGACCCGCCAACCTGACTATTTTTGTATTTAAACAAAATTATTAAAAAAGCCCAACCCCAACCCCACCCCAAAACCAAAACTTGCTGTTGACTGAACCCCCACATTGATGCGATTTTAAGTTATTGCTGCCAAAGAGACTTATTGGGGAGGGGGGGGAGGGGGGCGCGCTCGTGGTTCTTTGTTCTGTTTTGGGTTTTGTTTGTTTCTTTCTTTGTTTTGTTTTTATTCTAAAATTCATTCGAGGCTTAGGATAATTGTGCAATTCCAGCTTCCGGAAGGAAATAGAAGTAAGCGGAGCTGAGCGAAACCTTGAATTCAGGGCTGGTTCCTTTTGGGCTCTATAGACCAAACCCTGAGGTGAGAAATGTCCCCCCTGAGCCCCTGCCCCTGTCCTGGCTCCTGTGTAGAGGGATGAGGGACACTGCACAGACAGCATCCACGTGGGATGGGGCTGGTGCCAGGGATTCTGCTCCATGCCACAGAGTGATCCCACCCTGGCCTGGACACAGCTCTGGCACCAGGACCCATGGGATGAGCCTGTCCCCAGTCCAGCCTGGCACCAGTGCTGGCAGAGGTGTCCCCATACTCACCCACCCTTCTCCCATCCTCTCCCATAGCCAGCCCAGCCTGGAGCTGTGTCCCAGCTGGAGTGCCCTCGGTGCTCAGGGTGCTTTTGTGGGGGCCAGGGGGTGTTCCCCAGCCCAGGACCCTGGGGGACCCCAACATCAGCCCCAGGGTGGTCATGCCACCCCATACCCCCACTGCTGGTTCCTCCTCCCTACTATGCAGTTAGTGCTTATTTGTTTTATTTGAGCCCCCACCTGGCCTGTAACATCCCACCCCAATTCTCCCAAGCTTTTTTCCTTATCCTTTACAACAGGGGGGTCACCCCCTTCCCTGACCAGGGCTGCAGCACCCAGGGCTGCTGCCCACGCAGGACTGGGATGCTTCCAGGATTCCCTTCCCTCAGTACCCACCCTACTACCCCCTGATCCCCCCTTCCCTGCACCCCCCAACACTGGATGGGGTTTGCTCAGCCCCTGGCACCCAGGGGTGCTGGTGCAGCCCCCACCCCACACCCCAGGTTTGGTCTATGGCGCCGCAGGTCCCGGCCCCGGAGGGCGGATAAGGACAGAGCTGTGGCTTAGGTAACTTTTTTAATAGAAAGGCTCTTCTTACATGGTCTATTTTCTCAATACGGGTCATAATTGCTGTATTTTTTATCAGTGCTGATTTCCATACAGCTCCCAGCATGTGTGTCAAATCTCATCGGGCCAATAATAAAGTTTTTAAAATATCTTAAGTTGTTTCCTGCCCCGATCATTGCCCAGCACCCAGGATGGAGCCAGCTCAGGAGGGCCCTGGCCACGCTCCAGGGCCAGGCAGGAGTCTCTGGCCAGGGGAAGTGCTGCAGGAGGGAGGGCTGGGGGAGGTTAAATTGCTCATAAATTACGTTTTCTCATAAAAAATTATTGCAGGTTACGTCTTACAGGTGCCACCGAGCCAGGAGGTGCAGCGAAGCCCCCGGGGGCTGGCTGGAGCCAGGGTGGCAGCTTGGGGGGCCCAGGGGACAGCCCCTGGCACAGGGATGGAAGAGGACACTGCAGTGGCCAAGGGGACCCCAGGCCTGTCCCCAACTCAGGCTGTGACCACCAGCCGTCCCACCCTCTGCCCCACCCCACAGCAGAGCCCTTTCCCTCACCCCTGCCCCATCCACCCCCCACCCATCTGCTCCAGCCCTGGGAGAGGAAGAGGAGCCACATCATGGAGCTGGGAACCCTCGTGCAGAGCCGGAGCCTGGGCAGTCACAGGAGAAGCTGTTGTCCTGCAGCGGAGCTGGAAAACCCATCAGAGGGGACACAGGAGAGATGAGCCACCACGTCCCATTGGGACCGAGCTCCCTGGGCTGTGCCCTGCCCAGTGCCCAGCCCAGAGCCCAGCCAAGCAGCCACTGCCCGGGCTGTGGGGACCAGGACATGCTGCACCAGTGAGCAGAAAGTGCAAAAGGAGAAATACAACGGAAAAAGCAAAAACTCTGGATTCAAGCCCTCACCCATGGGAGACACAGTTCCTGCCTGGAAACTCTCTTTTTTCTCCCTGTTTTTGAGCAAGGATGTGACCCTGGTCACTCAGGAGCTGCGGGAAGGGCTGTGGGAGCCTCCTTACTCGTGGGCACCCCCAGCAGTAAGCTTAGCAAGTGTGTGTATATATATTTACATATATTTATCTCTATCTATCTCTCTCTCTCATGCAGCCCTAGGAATAGAGGAAGAGCAATCAGCCAAGCAAGAGGTCTGGATGAGAGCTCCTGTCTGCAGGGAGCAGGGGCACCCCAAGGTTCACTCACACACTGCCCTCTCCTCCACAAGTGGTTTTTTCCTAGCTTATATTTTACAGCAGTACCGTGATTCCCCACAGTATCCCGAGCCCTGGCACAGCAGGAGCTCTGGGACCGGAGCTGACCCCGTCCCAGCGGGGGCTGCAGTGCTGGCACCCACTGCCCTGTCCCAGCCCGGAGCATGGCCTGGGCACCCGGGGTCTGGTGGGAGCCTGGGCGCTGCCTGTGCCACCCACCATGCCTTGGCTTGCACGAGGTGTCCCGGTGTCCTGCCTGGCCTGGGGGTCCCTCCTGTCTGGGCAGGGAGAGCAGGGGCACCGTGTCCTCTCTGCCTTGCTGCCCCTTTGGAGCACTGTGAGCCCACGCAGAGTTGTTCTCCAGCTGAGCCCAGTTCCCCACCCGCAGCAAGCTGCTGCTGGGCCTGGGAGCCACCCCGGCTCTGGAACACGCTGCCCTAACTCCAGGAAGTGCCACCACACTCAGCACAGGCACAGGACAGGTGACATGGCAGCGCTGTGACCCCCTGCCACCGAGGGAGTCTAGAGAAGAGAGAACTAGGGCACTAGCTTGAGCCTTTGGCTTTCAAAGCAGCAGGATTAATAATTTCGGCCTAGAAATGGAGTCCTGGGAAGCTGGACATGCAGCAGCGAGGAGGAGGATGAGGAGGGTGAGGAGGTGGCGAGTGCCACGCGGGCGCCAGCGCTCCCGGATCAGCTGATGAGCGGGGCCGAGCGGTCGTTTGTCACCGTTGGCTTCAGCTGGACGTTGGCAAAAGGGTTCCTGTGCAGGAAGAGGAAGGAAGAGTTAACAGGGTGTGGAGGCCTGGAGAGGACAGGGCACCGGCACAGCGAGCGGTGACTGGCAAGACCCCGGGACCAGCAGCATTTGGGAAGGACTTAAACTGGAAAAGCTCTGCCTTGTGGAGCCCCCATCCAAGCTGCCCCCATCCTCAGCTGCCCCCACAACTCTGCTCCTCTCCCAGCTAAGCTGCGGTGGGTCAGAGATGAGCCAAGCGCAGCTGCAGGGGGATGTTCTCCTACCTCACTCTCCTTCAGCCTAAAGCTGGGGATGCCACTGGGAGCCAGGGCTGATGAAGCTGCTCCAGCCTCCTCCAAGGCTGCACTCCAACAGTTCCCACAGATGGGAGCACTGCAGGATCACCCAGCCCTGGAGCAGGGGGTTATGGCTTCACTCCTGGCCAAGGGCATAGCTGGTAGCTCCCTGCAGAGCCCTTGTGCTGCCTCTGGGGAAGTTAAATCCAAGAGGATGAGTGTGGGAGACTAAGGACACTTTGATGAGCTTGTCAGAGTCCAGGGCCCAGACAGGCTGACCTTGGGTTTCACCTACCTGGGGTGTTCCCAGCACCCTCCTGCTGCCATTGTCACCTGGCCAGGACAGGGTGCAAGGACTGCCTTGGCACGGGGAGCATCCTTACCCCTTCTCCAGGAGGTCCCCTCTGTCCTTTCCCAGCAGGAGTTAATTTCTGGGGGGGTGTGGGCAGCTCTGGGGGTCCCTCTAGCTGCCTGGGGAGCCACCAAGCACCCCCTGTCCTCCCTGCAGCCCCTCTGTCTCATATGCCCACTGCCCCCAGCCCTCCCCAGGAGCCACACAATCCTTCTGTCCCCAGTGGGAGCAATGGCCACAGCCCCCCACGCCAGGTCCCACAGCTGGGCCTCTGGCCGGTCACCCACCGTGGGGGCACAGCCCTGCTACCCCTGACGTGGGTTCAGGTAAAGTGCCGCGGTTACCGTGTGCACCCTGCACCGAGCAGCTTTGGGATGTCTCCAGAAGCTTTGGGATGTCCCCAGACATCTCCCAGAGCAGAAAGGAAGATGGTGGGACCTGCACCCTTCTGGGACAGGCACTCACTGTCAGCCCCAGGCCCCATCTCACCTCCCTCGTTTGCTTTTTCTTTCCTTAAAAGATATATGACTTTTGCTTAAAAATAGGGTAATTAATTTCACACCTAATTAATGCAGCTGCTTAGATCACTTTCCCTCCCAAGATGCCAAAATAGATTCTCAGGACTGGAGGGAGAGGAAAAGTTGCTTTGATGAGTCACCCGGGGCTCATTTAACTCTTTCTATACTGGCAGAGAAGAGCCACTGGGACGGAGCCTGCAGCTCCAGGGAAAGCAGCTCATGGATCAAAGAGAAATAGGGAAGGGACTTTCCAGGCTCTGCAGTGCCAGCGAGGAGGGTCTCGACTCCTGGGGAGGCTCCTGCATCCCGTCCCTGGGGCCAGGACCAGGAGGCTCCTGGGTCGAGTCTACAACAATAAAAGCTGCTCAAAAAACTTGCGGTTAGTGCGGACGTGCCCCGCGCCGCTGGACAGGGCTGGGGCCAGCGGACACCTACAACCAAAGAGCTGGTCACGGGGAGCAGCGGGAGCAGCAGGAGCAGCTCAGCATCCCGGCAAGCGCAGCCGCGGCAGCGGGGCGAGCAGCAGAGGCAGCCTGGGAGCCCCGGAGCTCGGCGACAAGCGGTGACGGAGGGAGGGGACGCGCTCGGCCGGTGCAGCGGGAAGCAGAGCGGTGGCACCGTCCCCGCGCAGCCCCGCGGCGTCACCCGCTGCCCAGCGCGCCCAGGGCTCGGCCCCGCAACACCGTCACTTACTAACTACGGGCAGGGGCACCTCAAAACCTGGCCACTTCAACATCGGGGCTGCAAGGGAAACAGAAGGCAGGTTGGAGGACGCTGGGACGCTTGATGGGAACAGAAGGTCGTGGTTAAGGAGAGACTTAGGGCCATGAGCCGGTGGCCACCTGGCCCGAGAGCCCGCTGGCCACCCACACGCAGCGCCGGCAGGCAGAGGAAACAGGAGGAAAAAGAAGAAAAAGGAGGAAAAGTCGTGTTTATTGAGTCGCTGGTGCTGTGAGGAGGGGAAGGAAGGGCACGGCCAGCCGGGAGCTGTGGGAGTGCAGCGGCTGGGCACGGCGGGGGCTGCGGAAGGGAGGGGGCGGCTTCCTTCCCCCGTGCCGGCCATCGCCGCTTTCCCACCGCCGGGAAAGTGCAGCTGGAGCCTTGGCATGCGGGAGCAGGAGCAGCATCACCCTCAGATGCTCAGGGAGGGGACCGGCTCTAAAGCAGCTGTCGCTGCTCCCGCTCAGCGAAGCTGTTTAGTGCCGGCAGGGCTGAGCGCGCACAGGCAGCGTCCCCAGGGACGGAGCAGGGAACAAAAACACGGCCTGGGAATGCGCGGTGGGCGATGCAGGCGGTGAGGGCAGCACGCAGGCACGGCAGCCGAAAAAGACACCGAGGCCCAGCTCAATGCAATAAATAAAACTTTTATTCAAACAATAACTCAGTACAGGGCACAATTCTCTCTGGCTTTTAAAAAAAGGTTTTTCAGCACTTTACAATCTCCACACAGGCTTTGCTAGGCTGGGTTTGTGGTTTTTTGTTTTGTTTTTTTCCCCCCTCTACATTCAGTCATTCATCGTGAAATATCCTGGGTTAAAAATCCTTAGCAAAATTCAGACATCGATGCAGGAGGGGCTCAGAACAGTGTGCCCGTAGGCGAGGAGATAATCCAAAAACTGGTCCGGGATGGGGGGGTCTATTGCCAGCAATGTCCCAGTAAACAGGCAATGTCAGAGGTCTTAAAAATCACATCAGAAAAAAGCGTGAACAGTTTGCAGTGGAGACGGCCACGGGCACTGGGAGGGCTACGGCCAGGCCAGTGCGGAGCGGGACCCCAGTGCGGGGTGGGAGCCCCCTGGGCACTGCCTTGCTCAAGCCTGGTTTGGGCATGCGAGCAGTCCTCGGAGCCCCAGCCCTAGCGTGAGGTAACAATACCTTGCTACAAAAAATATATATATATATATTTATAAAACAACCAGGAGTAACCCTTCGGGGGGGTTCCCACAGCTGGCGGGACCCCAGCCCAGAAGCAGCCCTTTCCCCGGGGCGGGAGCTCTGTGCCATCCGCTTCTCCCAAAGCCACCGCGGTGGGATGGAAGCGGATCGGGCCGAGGGGGAGGCACGGGGACGCTGCTCCCCCTCCGGGAACGGCATCCCGGGCGCGGGCATCCCGGATGCTCAGTAACAGTACGGACACCAGAGGCCATGCATATGTGATCCAGTCTGGGAGTTTGGTCCAGGCTCGTGCGGGGCGGCCGGCGCGGCCCCTGGGGGGGACAGTGCATCGCTAACATCACACGGGAGGACAAACACCGGGTCCCACTAAGTGACAACTGCGCCTGGGCTGTGAGCACAGACCTGGCAGCAGTTTCTGCTCCAAAAAGGCTTCAGAAACAAGGGCACTGTGAACACCAGGGAGGGGTGAGAAGCACCATGGTTTCCTTGAAGATCACAAGAGTTTCAAATCCAAAAGAAGTAGAGAAAGAGAAACGAAAGGGAAGGAAAAAAAAAGGGGGGGGAAAGAAGCAGAAAGCTCTTCCAAGCAGCAAGGGGCCGCTGCGAGCCCAGGTGTCCTCACACCGTTGATACCAAACTGCCACTGCCGCTGCGGAACAAAGCACAGAGATGCCAGAGTGGCCGCGGGGCAGCACCGAGCTCGCGGCACCGCGGGACCCATCACGGCCGGGCAGCGAGCTCCACCCAGCCACGGGCTTGGGCTCAGCCCCAGGAGCGAGACGGGGCAGCTCCGAGGCAGAGGGGATGGAGAAGGTGCTGGGGAAAGGCCCCGGAGCGTGGGCTCTGCGTGGCTTCCCTATCCCGGCGTGAGCCCGGAGGAGGTCGGGAGACGCGACTCTCTGGAGGAGCACGAGCTTGGGGACACCAGGCTGGCCCTGGGACCTGCCCTCCCTGGGTCCTCCCACTCTCACAGATGAGACCTGGCCCCATCCCAGCCACTGCCAGTCCCCGGGGAGCCCATGCAGGGACTCCTGTGGGGACACAGCCCCACGGCTTCGCCCACAGCCAACACCAACAGTTCTCAGGGAATGTGACAGGAAGGTGACATCTTACCTGTTGACAGATCTCGTCCCGTAGTCATCAAGACCCTGTGGAGAGGAGAGGAGGAAGGACAGTGAGGAACGTGTGGGCTGTGCCTGCTCAGGTGCCACCAGAGGGTCACAGGAACAAACCAAAGTGCATCAGGACCCAGGGCCAAGAGCTGATGCATTTGGAGACGAAAAGGAGATATGGAGATGATTGGAGTGGGATTCAGACAGCAGGGAGTGAAGTTCCACCACTCCCTGTAGGATTTATCTGGCCAGACATGGAAAAGCAACTGCTGGGAGAGAGCCCTGCTCTGCTCTGCCCAGCTCCTCTGAGGAACAGAGCTTTGGCTGCTGCTGAGACTGTTGGAAAGGGGCTGCACGACTGAGAGACACCAGTGAAATGTTCTGTGGAAAGAGGGGTTGCCTGTATTCACTCCCACCAGAAACCCACAGGGTTTTGGACCATTTTCTCCTTGAGCCGGTGCTGAGAAGGCTTTGCAGGGACTGAGGGGCAAGTGGGGATCAGGCCTGGAGAACATCCCTCAAGGACATCCCTTCTTGAGCAAGGGCCTGCCCTGGGATATGAGTGGAGCCGCTCTGCTCTCCATGACAAACACGGAGAAAACTCCAGGAAAGAGGAAGGCTCTGGCCTCTGAGCTGGCCATGCACCAGCAACCAGAGACCCACATTCCCACCTTCCCAGGAATGCTCCCAGTCCCAGCAGCAAATCCTGCTCAAAAACTCCACCAAAACAGCAAGAAGTGGGGTTGTGCTTCCACCCCACTCCCTACAGAGAGGACCAGATCCCATCTGACGTGTCCTGTGGAAGGGTCAGTGCTGACTGCCCTTCTCTCTCCCTCCTCATCCTCTCCCCTCTACCAGCACATGATGCCAGCATGGCTCATCCCCTCATTGTGGTGGGACAGCTCCCCTACACCAGTAGCTCCTGGGTTAGGCTGATCTCATCTACTGTGTATCCTCCCTGGCTTGTTATCCAAGAAGTCCTGGGCTTGCTTTGGACACTGGAATCCTGTCCAGGATCTGCCCCAGTGTCCCCACAGGACTGTCACCGGCTTGAAGTGGCACATGCCAGAGAAAACACTTCCAGCTGCCTGTGAGCAGCCTGTTTCTGGTGGGAGACTCCCATGGAGTCGCAAGTGTTGTCCTTTGGGGGTTTACGGGGCCATTTTGTGCCACTGCCCCCCGTGCCTTGCCTGCTCCTCCCCATCCATGGGCTCCCTGCATCCCTTCACCCCAACAGAGGTGCTGGGCAGGAGCAGGGTCCAGGCAAGGCACGCAGATCACCAGGCACAAAACAGCCAAATTTCCATAAATCCCAAGGGAAACATTGCAAGCGTCGGACTTACAGCTGTCGACCTAGTGTAAGGCTTGTAGTGAGCGGAGGGTGCTTGGCAGAGGCCACTGGAATAGTCTTTAATTGCACACCCATAGGGCATTAGGTAGTCCTAAAACAACGAACAGAGGTTGGAGAGCCGCCCTCGGCACCCCCAGGCATCCGCCGCACGCCGGGACCGGGAACGCTCCCGCTCATCCCATCCCAGTGGGACAGGGAGCTGAGACCCCCGGGCAGCACGGCAGGGACTGTGCCCAGGGAGCTGCTCCAGCATCCCCCAGTGCTCAAACACCCCCATGGAGTGGGAGAAGCCGGCGGGAGAGGCTCACCTGGGAGAAGGCGGGCACGGCCACGCTGTACGGCCGCTGCTTGAAGGTGTTGCCGCCCTGTGCCGGGAAGGCCTGCGAGGCCATGCCGTAGTCCGGCGGCGGGATGGAGATGTCATCCTTGTCCAGCAGGTTGCCAGTGCTGCTGCTCTTTCCTTGCTGCAGGCTGGGGGGGGCCCAGAGCAGAGGTGTCAGCTCCATGCAGATACCCCCAGACCACCCATCCGCTCATGGAAAAGCCACCAGAGCCAGCAACCACCCTGCTGTGCTGTTATTCCTAAGGAGAGTTCCTAAGGAATACCTAACTCCCAAGGACACAGACTCCCTGTCACCCCACACGACGCTCCTACCTGGTGTGGACCCGCTCGCTGCCATCATTGTCAAGGACCCGTGTGTAGGAGAACGGAAACCAGCCCCTCCTGAAAGGCAAAGGCGGGGATGAAGCCAAAGCCAGGTTTGACCATGGAGGGCCCGGAGGCGGCTGCTCCCGGGGACATGCAGCACACTCACATTTTGGTTTTCTCGCTCTCTCCGTAGTGCCAGCCGTCCCGGGCCTCGGGCACCAGCAGTGTGATGAGGTCCCCCTCCTTGAAGCTCAGGAGGGTGCTGTTATCCCCGGCAGCGTGCGAGAAAATGGCCTGCACCCTCGTCCGGCCGTTCCTCTCGAGCCCGGCGGCCATGGAGCTGGAGCGTGGCAGTGTCTTGTTTTCAGCTGGGGGAACAGACACTAGTGGGTGCCCCAAATCCTTCACCCCAAGGCCATCCCCAGGCACAGGGTCCCCATCTCTCCTTATTTCAGCCCAGGTCGCACTACAACCTTCAGTGTGACTCACACCTTCCCCCTCACCAAACAGGATCAGGCTCTCAGCATCACCCACCAGCCACGGCAAAGGGAGCAGGTTCCCTGTGCCACATTCCACAAGGTTTTCCTCCTGGAAATCCTGTGAAACCCCAGGGCAGAGCCCAGCCCCAACATTTCCTAACACCCAGGTAGGAGGCACGAGCAGTACTTGACACCAAAGGGATGCTGTGGTCACTGTCCCCCCACCAGCAGCACCCCCAACCACCATCCCCCCCATCCCCCTGGAGCTCTCCTGGGGGCAGAGCTGGCTCCAGGGCCCCCGGCAGCGGGGCCGGGGCCTCACCTGAGGCGTAGCTGTTTTTCGGTGCCACGTTTTTGCGAACTGGGAGTGTATTGGAGTAAGAGTCACTCAGCTGCTTCTGAGGCTGGGGAGGAGATAAAGATTTGGGCTGTGCTGGCTTCATCTCAGACCAGTGGTTGTACCCGTCGCTGTCAGAGCCTGAGACTCCGTTCATCACTGGCATGGCCTCCTGTGCCGACATGCGCTGCGAGAGAGGAGGGGAGGGGGACATGGAGTGGCTTCATTAGGGCACCCCCTGCAGCTCCAGGGCCATCCCACTGCAGCTCCCCAGTGGGACACAGCTCCAGGGAGAGAGGCAAATCGAAGCTTCGTCCTGTTCGGTTTAGTTCCCAGCCAAACCAAACTGCTCTGGGGGGAGCAATGGGGGTCTTCTCTATGGTATCTTACTGCTCTGAGCTCCCCTGAACCTGCCAATTCCCTGCTCTATGCTCAGCTTGTGTCTCCACATCAGCAGGACACCCTCTTCTAAAGGGTCCTTCACCCCATGGGTCACTCCAGGCCTCTCTCCTGCAGTTACTGGGGTACCTGGGTTCAGTCCCACAGCTTGGGGACCAGCCTGGACAGGCAGGTCCAGCCTGTGGGTCCCCCAACAGCGCCTGGGAGCCCCTGCTCTGACAGAGCTCAGTGACTCTGGTGGGATGGGATGGGACAGGCTGCCCATCCCCAGGTCAGGCTCCTCCCCACATCCCAGGATGGCCCAGCACGGAGCTGCCATCCCTGCCATCAGTGACAGCCCATCCAAGGGCAACTTGCCGAGGACAGCAGTGACACCGGCCTGGCCTCGTCCCTCCGGCTTTGCTCAGAAGGGCAGGACAGCCTCCACCACAGAGATACTTACTCCTACAAAAGGTGCCAGCTCCGGGGGGACAGGGAGAGGTTTGGCACCAGGGATGGGATCAGAGATGATGAGGTTGGACTTGGATGTGGACAGAGGGCTGGGCATGATGGTGCCATTGCTGCTGGCAGCCATCTGCTGCATCAGCTGTATGGCGCGGTCCGGGATCTTGTTGGGGTCCGAGCAGGATTGCTGCCACAGCGGCAGCTTCTGTGTCAGCATCTCCTTCCCCTGCAAGAGCAAAAGGAGGTGTCGAGGCACAGGGGTACAGGTGCTCTGCCCCCCTTCCCTGGGCAGCACCACATGGATCCAGGGCTGAGCTGGTCTGGGATTGATCGATGGCTCTGTGCATGGCACAGGCAAGATAACACACAGGGACATCCTGCTTCCATGCTCTGATGGCAGCAGAGCCAGGCAGGCATAATGAAGAATGGGAATGAGGGAAGGGAAAGGTAATCCATCTCCCCAGTTTATTCCAAGATATCCTGTGTACAGCATCTCCAGGCTGCAGGGAGCTGGGCAGGGAGCTGGGCCCCACGTGGAGCAGAGAAATAAAAGCAGGCTGAAAGCTTGGCAGGGAACAGCCCGTGCTCCAGGCTGTCCCCACATCCCAAGGGATGAGCTGCTTCCGTGGGGTGCTCAGCCCCAGCGGCCTCCAGGCTCCTGTGCTGCATCCAAGCCCCACTGCTCCCTGCCTGCAGGACTGGCAGCCACCTGCTACCATGCTCCAAGGGGGAAACAGATGGAGCCAAACTTGTCCATTTTCACCCAGAATGTACGAGCAGCCCCTTGTGTGACTCAGAGGGGGAAGATGTCCCAACCCCCTCGAGGTCACTCCCAAGGGTGACCCGATGTCTCTGCTCTGCCTCATCTGGAGACAAAATGCGGTTCTGCATATCAAAATCCCCCACTAAATGCAATTTCAATGCCCCTGTATATTTCCCCAACACCAGCCAGCGGGTCCAGCCTCATGATCCTGTGGAGCATCCTGCAGGAGCCACGGGCAGCAGCAGGATGGAGTTTTTAGCAGGGCACACAGCACGCTCTGGACGAGCCACCAGCAAAGTCCCTCCTGCAAAATCAACTTCTGTGTGTGCTGCTGCAGGTTTTGGTTCGTTCCTGCTGACCACCAGCCCCGGGGAGTGCTTCTCCCCTCCTGCACTCCGCTTGCCAAGCCAAGCGTGGATCCATGCTGTGGATGTGCCAGGACAGAGCTGACTAATCCAGCTCCCTCTCCTGCTCCAGTGCCAAGCGTGGCGGTGACAGATGGCTGCCGTGAGCCACGGAGGGCGGTGGTGGGGAACAACCAGAACGGGAGCACGAGGCTGCAGAGCAGCACCAGCCCTCGTCTGGATGGATCCTGCTCCAGACCCATGCAGGTGCTGCAGCTTCCCAGGCGGGCAGGGAGCAGCTCCAGCCCTGGTCCAGGACATGGGCAGTAGGGATGTGGAGTTACGCTGGGCAAGAGGGATTTGAAGCAGCTGCTCCTACTGGAGCACCTTCCCTGGAGTCACCTGTTGGTCCAGCACCCCTTCAGTCCCTGAGCTGCAGGGGCTGCACCAGCTGTGGCTTTTGGGATCTCAGGCTGTTCTATGGGATGCAGCTGGAGCTGGGAGCATCCACCCAGTGCCAGGGCAGCCAGGCCTGGCTCTGGCAGGTCGCACTCACCTTGGCGTGGTAGGTGATGGCACTCTTGGCCACCGCGCACTGTTTCTCCACCAGGAAGCAGAACCGTCTCCTCTCTTCCGTCAGAGCTGTCTTGTAGCCATCGGAGACGTAGTTTTCCAGCTCCCCTTGCTTGTTGCTGATGGCTTCGATGTACTGGAAGAGGGAGAGGGGCAGGGAGGGAGCTGCGGGCAGCGCCGCGGGGCGGGCGGTGCCGCGGCAGCCGCGGAGGGGAGGGGGGCGGGCGGCGCGGGCGGGACCCCGGCACGGGACACACACAGGGACACTCACGTGTGCCTGCACAGCCCCCCAGCCCACCCTTACTCATCGGAGCCCCCCACGCAGAGGCGCTGACTCAGCCCGTGGGCTGCACGGGACGAGCTGTACCCGCGGCCGCCCGCTCACCACCCGGGCTCGGAGGCGCTGCCGGGGGCCGGGGCTGCCCCATGGCCCGGGACTGGCAGCGGCCCCCGCAGCCCCCAGCTCGTCCTGGCACAAAGCAGCGCGGCTCCCGGCACGGCCTGGCTGTGCCCTGCCCGCTGCCGAGGGACGGCACGGGGACCCTGCCACGCACAGGGCCACCAGCGCCTCTGAAACTCCCGGCAGCGCCTTCAGTCTGCATTTATCACAGGGGACACAGAGGTGCTGCTGGGCAGTGCCACACGCTGGCACAGGACGCCCTGGCTGCTCCCTGGTGCCACACGCTGGACTGGCAGACACGGTGGCAGTGCCAGGCTGGCAGCTAGAGGCTCCTCTGCTGGCTCCTGCTCCCCCAATGTGACAGGTGCCAGCATGGCTGTGCCACGCTGGGCTCTGCCAGTGCTATGCTTGGCACAGCAGCAGCACATGGGGGAACCCCCCAGCTGCTTTGCCCTGTGTGATGGAAAGGTGGCACAGGGGACTCCGGACCACAGGGCAGCACCAGCCTCCCTGAACACAACACACGAGGTGCCCCCAGCACCCTGACCCGGCCACTTTGTCCTCCCTCCATCCCTTTGGATGCTCCCAGCTTCCACCTGCCATGTGGCAGCAGGGGAGCAGCCACGGAGGCTCTGAGAGCAGCACCTCTCACCCACTGCTGTCCCACACTGTCACACCTCCTTGCCACCACCTCTTCCCTAGGACAGCAGCACCACTACACTGGAAAGCCACAACACCCCCAGCCCAGGCAGGGCTGGACCCGCTTCAGGCAGCCCAAGCTTCTCTGAGATGGGAATTAAACTGGAAATTCAGGGCCCAGAGCAGCTTTGCTGCTTCTTCATGGTTATCAGTTATTTTTAGCATGCTACAATATTTATTAAGAGATACATAAAATGGAGCAAACCAACAAAAGCAGCAAGATTCAGTGACATCCTAGACTTCAAAGGGGGATTATTTTGGGGCTGGACCTGCTCCTGGCTCCCACCCTGCTCCAAGCACCCCGAGAGCAAAACCCAGCGCAGGGTTGTAGCCAGCAGGTTTTGGGACTCCCCACAGTGCACCAAGCCGGGTGAGAGAAAGAGCATTGGTGAGAAATGGATTAAAAACCCAGTTCGCAACCAACAACCCTATTTCAAAGAGAATTTTTTCCTCCAAAACGAGAAAATCCAGGGCAAATGCCTGTGGCCACGAGGAGAAATAAGCGAAGGGAGCTGAGCTGATGGCACTGGGCACACACAGGTGGAAGTGATGGAGGTTTTGGCATCACCCCAAAGCAGAGACACAGGGCATGGCACTTGGAACACCGGGCAGCAGCCAGGCTGTGCCAGCACAGAGGCACTGGGGCAGCGTGGCACAGGAAGAGGCAGCAGCAGCCCCTGGCACACAGAGCCCCTGGAGGAGGAGGAGGAGGAAGCGCTGGGGAAGGCTCGGGACAGCAGCACGCCGCCTCCTCCTGGGTATTATTAGCCTGGGAACAGCACAGGGACAGAGCCCAGAGGCAGCAGCCTGGCAGTGGCGATGGGAGCTGGGGAATGGTGCCCCAGTGCCAGCCCCAGAGCCAGCCTGGAGAGCCCCCAGCCCCTCCAGCACAGCCCTGCTATGCCTGGGATGGACCGAGCCCTGCTGCCCACACTCATCTGCACCATGGGCAGCTCCACAAGAAGTTTCTGCCCCAGGGGAAGGGGCAGAACAATGCTCCCCCCTCCTGCAGAGCCCCATTTCTGGAAGGAAAGCACAACCCTGACAGCACCTGAAATAGCAGGAGCACACACAGACCCCGATCCCCATTCATTTAATTAATTTAATTTTTCCCCATCATCCTGCTTAATTTACTAACTGGGCCACCAAGAACGAGAAGGTGAGAAGTGAAAAGAGCTCAGCTCCAGCTAATTTGGCTCAGCAGCACAGGGCCCATCCCGCCACGATTCCCTGCAGGATCCCCATCCCGGGGTCAGGCACGGCTCCAGCCCAGACACCACAACACAGGGAGAAACCCTGATCTTAGCAGCTGAGAGCTCCAGCTCTCAGCAGGATTTAAATACGCAGGTACAAGCCTTATTTACACCCCTGCTCTCAGGCTGGTTTTGCAAGGCTCCTGCTAATTCCTGTGTGAGAAAGGCTTGTCTCAGCCAGTCGGAACACGCCGCTCCGAGAGCGCAGAGCCCACGCTCTAAACTTAGTACTCAGAGCTTTATATACTTTATGTAAATATGCTCCGTGTGCCATTGATTTATCCAGAGCCTCGATTTTACATGTTGTTCCATCACAAAATGGCGAGCGACACTCCTTGTTCACGAGGTGGTTTTCAGTTTGGGTTTGCTCAGAATGACAGTGGGCTTTCAGATAACGCCCAGAAAGGCAAATTTAAATAAAAAGCCTGTTAAATATGCCAGATGCACGAGGGAAAAGTAACACACAAAGCACAGTGTAAAATCTCGCGGCTGCACTCCAAGGAGAAGCTCTGCCTTACCCAGGAGTGAGGCTTCACCCGAAGCCAGGTGCCCACCAGGACCTCAGGGCTGCTGCTCTCATCTCCATTCCCCAGAAATGGGGGAAATCTCAGCCACCCCACACTCTGAACACAGCAAACACCCTTCCCAGCTTGGCATGACCTGATCCCCTTTAAGGGCTGGGGGAAGGGGCTTTCCTGCCAGGCTCAGCAGCTTCTCCAAAACCCCACTGACAAGCACAAACCACTCAAGCACTGTAAACTAAGACCTTGACTGATTGAGGTTGTCAGCTTCAAATTCACATGTTAAGAATCATCTAAATAAAATTCCCAGTTAGAAGGAGGAGAAAGAGACCCCGCTTGTGATCCGAGCAGGCAGGGAGGCAGCCAGGCCGGTGGTCGCGCCCAAAGCCAGGGCACACACCAGAGCCACCCAACAGCTCCAGAAAATCCTTTCTGGGTTTCTAGGTTGGAGAGGCCTCAAATAACTCCCCCGTGCCGCGCCCCCCCGCCTCCCACATCCACTTCCAATTCACAGGGAGCCGCTGACCTAATTAGCAGTGTCAGCACGTGGCGGCGCCGGGCAGCGGCTTTGGCGCTGGGATTCTTCCAGGATGCTGCCACGGGGCCAGGCTGGCAGAGCCAGGGCTCCTGCCCGCTCCTGGGGCAGCCCTGCCCACGGGGGGCTCAGCCAGGGACCCCCAGGGTGGGCACAGGAGGGGGCCGGAGCCACGGCGGGCAGCCCCCGTGCCAAAGCCAAGCCGAGCTGCCCCGCGGGTCAGACGGAATTAGGAACACGAGCAGATGAGAAGGGAACGAGCTGCTGCCAACTCCCAGCTCGAGCAGCCGCTGTCGTCCTGCACAGCAAGGCAGGGCACACAGCCCTGCCACCTCCCCAAGGCCACGGTGACAGCTCGGGAGGGGGGTGGAGATCAAAGAGCAGCTGAGAAATGTCAAGCCCCGAAGTGCCAGGAGCACACGCTGCTGTCAGCACAGGTGGAGCAGCAGCGAGCTCCAGCCCAGCCTTTGATAAGCACAGCCTCGCTGGGAAATCAGTTCAGACCTCCCATCCTTCCCAGCCAGGAACGTGCAAACACAGGGAACACGAGCCAAGGGCTGAGCTCCACCACAGGAATCATCACTCCAGATCCTTCGTGGTGTGTCTGGCACCGACCAGGCTGAGCCAAGGGCTGGCCCCAGGGACAAGAGGGGACCCCCACCGGGCAGGAGCTGCCTTGGGGTCACCAGTACAGCACAGCCATGAATTTTGGGGTCAGAAAGCCAAGGGGAGCATGTGGCAGGCATGCTTCCACCCAGCACCAGGAGGGATGCAGAGCAGGGAGGGGCTGTGCGCACTCCAGCTCTCATGGCAAGGAGAGATTGGTCAGGACCAGTGGCACAGAGCAGTGGGAAAAGAGAAAGGAAAGGTCAGGGAAGAGAAAGGACTGTGCTGGATCGATGCAGTAGGCTGAAATACCTGGAAGGAGTAAACATGGAGAGAAAGGAGGATTTGTTTAGGCAATCATGAGGGAGAATAGCTAGAAATGGGAGAGGATAAAAAAGTTGGGTTGATTAGCAGGGAAAGAGCATCTGAGCAGGCAAACCTGCTGAAACCCCACCACAGCACAGAGGCAAAATGAGTAGGGATCCTCAGCCCGGACAGCTCTTCCTCCTTCCCAGAAATTGCTGCTTGTGAGGCAGCTGGCAGACCCTGGAGCAGCCTCTGGGGTGACACTGTCCCCTCCTGGCTCCTGCAGCCCCCACCCAGGGAGGTTGGGTGCTGGATCCCAGCCTGGGGCTATCCCACGCTCTTCCACAGCCAGGAAGGAGAGCAGAGCTCGGGATGAGCCCTGACCCGACCTCTCCTGTACGATGGCAAATGAAACAAGAGCCCCACAGCAGGGAATGGCCACCACAGGAGCCCAAACACATTTCCCTGCCTTCTACGGGGTCACTGACACTGCAGGAGCCCTGCAGGAGCCCTGCAGGTTTCCCGGGGGGGACAAACTCCCTGCCCCACACAGCAGCAGCCCCCAGGCAGCAGGAGGGAAGGCCCTGACCCTGCTGTGCTGCCCCCCAGCCTTCCCTGCTTGGCTGCAGCCAAAGCTCCATGGGGTGGAAGCTGGGCCAGAGCTGCTGATGGTTATCCAAGGTGATGGGAAAGGCAGAGCAGATCCTGGGGAGCCAGCCCCTAGAGCCAGGGATGCCAGGCTGCCCTCCTCCCCTGGGAAGGGCTGTCTCCCCTCGTTTGTCACATCTGCAGCAGCCCCAGCCCTGCACACATGTGGTGTTACATAAAGTGCAGAGAGCAGAGCAGCAGGGGAGCGCTGGCCCCAGTCAGCTTCACCTTCCCCTGCCCAAAACGTTCCCCAGTGCAGGAACAGCCCGGGTCAGCAGCTCAGTGCACAGCTCTGGTACCCAAGTGCTTGTGGCACAGCCCTGAGCTGCACAGGCACTTCCAGGAACACCTCCAGGGACCCAGGGGCAGCCACAGCTTCCCTGGGCACCCTCTGCCAGGGCCTCACCCCTCACAGGAACTGGAATTTCTCCCAGTATCCCATCCATCCCTGCCCTCTGGCAGTGGGAAGCCATTCCCCCTGTCCTGTCACTCCTCGTCCAAAGTCCCTCTCTTGGAGTCTCTTTAGATCCTGGAAGGGGCTTCTCTTCTCTTGCTGGGCACATGTCCTCCCTCAACCTAAATCCCAGCAAAACCTGGAGAGAGTGACCTGGAGCTGCTGAGCTGAGAGTCCTTCGCCATTTGACTTTCACATAAACCTCATAACCTGGTTTGTGCAACTCCCTGTCATTTCCAGCTTCCTGACCTACACCTAAAATTATTTCTCCTGATGGGAATACCCAAATGAGGTTTCAATGACAAAAGTTTATACAACCCCACAGGTTATTTGGCACCGTGGTATTTAACGTTTAAAACATTCCCAAGGGAGCAGGGGGTGGTGAAGGCAGAGGCTGAGCTCAGCCCCCACTGCCCAGCCAGGGTCACCCACTGTCACCTGGGCCAGGCACAGCCTTTCAGGACAAACACCCAGCCCCACAGCACTGCTATGTAAGCTGAATTACAGCCAGTTTTGTCTCAGCCTGATGCACAAATCCAATTGCTCACAGAGCTAATATGATTTGATAAATACTTTGAACCAACATAACTTCATTGCTGAGCTACTGATTCAATCCAGGTCCCAAACCCATCATGACCTTGATTTCATGGCCTGATCACAGCCAGCCCTTAATGAAATTACAGCACTTGAGCTTCCTTGGTGATTGTTTAATCTTAATATTGTTTTCATTCTTCTTCATCAGAGATGTGAAGTGAATGGAATTGGTTTGTTCTCCCGGTTTTCAACACGGGTCAAGCCCAATCTCAGTCACTCCACGAGGAAGATGAGGCACGTGAGGCTCTCAGCCCTCACTCCCTGTGTGGAGCAGCAGCTTGGTGTGTCCTTTTATTCACAAGGAATAAAAGCCTGGCTGAATGTGACACTCAGCAGCAACAACCCCCAACACAGCATTGCCCCTGCCCAGGACAGGGCCTGGCAGCTGGGACACCACTCCTGCAGCCTGCTGCCACTTGCAGCTGCTTCAGAGCTGCTAAATGAGTCTGGGCTGCAGCCCAGAGGTGTTTTAACTCTTCAGCCACTTCACTCTGCAGCACTCGTCCTCGTTGGGAAAACTCCCCAAAGCCAGCAGGAGACAGGGGCCAGGTGATGTGGGGCCTGCAGAGCAGCCTGGACCAGCTCTCTCCATCAGCGAGGGGCTGCGGCAGCTCAGGAGCAGCCTCCTGCAGGAGTCTGTGAGCACCACACCCCCTCCACTCCTGCTCTGCAGCTTCTGCTGCCCAGCACTGCTGTCTGCACTCCTGCTGGACTGCAGCATCTACTTCTGCTTTATAAAGGGGAACAGCTGAAGGAAACAGGTGAGGTGTCTGGGCTGCTGCACTGGGCTCTCTGATTGATTCAGCAGTGTGGGAACGCAGCCAAGGGCTGTCCTCTGCCAAAAGCAGGGCCTGGGGGGCCCCAAAGCTGCTCTCACTCTGACAAATGTTACATAAACCCCGAGGTCCCTGCAGGACAGTCCTGCTGCTGCCACCACGTGCCTCAGCCACCCGTCTCACTGGCAGGTGATGACAAGATGTGGTCACTCCACAAGTGGTGAAGAGGCAGAAAGGAGCAGTTCTGCTTCCTGGAGCATTAAATATGAAGGAAGATGATGACAGAGCATCAGACTCCTGGCTGGCAGCTGCTCCAGCAGCTTCACAGGCACCAGCCTTCAGAAGAGCAAGATGTTACTGCTGCCTCCAAGGAGGCGACACTTCCACCAACAGCAGCTTCTCCCACGAGGAGAGAAGGAACCAGCCCCAGTCCATTAGGAGACTCCAGCCAGCCCTGGCTGATGGGTCTGCGGTCCCCAGGCACCAGCCTGGCACAGCCATCAGCATCCCAAATCCATCCCCAGGTGCTTGAGCAGCCCTGAGGAGACCATCAGAGGTTTGGCAAGTGGCCAAACAGGGGTGGCTTTGGGCCAGCTCAACAAAGCAGGCTGCCTGTGGCTCTGCTTAAACCAGGCTGTGGAAATCAAAGCCCCACACAGCTCTGTCGATGCGCCTGATCCACTCAAACCTGGTTTCACCTCCCCAAAGCCCAGTTCCAGCTCCCCAAAGTCCCAAACAAGGCTCTCTCCTCAGGCCAGCACCAACACCCCCACAGTTCCAGGCTGGACCCCACTTATTGCAGTTCCCCCTCTCTCCAATGCCCAGGCAGAGGTAAAACAGTGTCGAGGGGTTTAACCCAAAACCTCTTTTTCTGCTGAGGAGACACCAGCTCTGCAGTCAGCAGAGAAGAGAGGGGAAGTGCCCTCTTGGCTGTGCTCAGCAATTTTAACTTTGTGTGTAGATCTAAGGCAAAGCAAACCCCCACTGGGTGCAGCAGAGCAGCCACAGAATCACAGCACTCTCTGAGCTGTAAGGGTCTCATAGCTCTGTAAGCTCAAAAGCCATCATAAAGCTTTTTTGGAGATAAGCACTTCCTAAATACTTACTGCTGAAAGATTAAAGGCAATGAGCTCTGATCCTGTTTCCCTGCCCTGAGAGCTGCGCTAACAGGAGTGCCCCATCTCAGCAGGAGGCTCAGCCACCCTCCATCCCAGCTGGGACGGCTTCCCTCCTCTTCCTCCTGCTCCTGTGGGATGGGGATCCCTGCCCCAGACTCCTCTGGCAGCAGCTGTCACAGGGGGGTGACAGAGGTTCGGTTCCCTGTCCCCCCACGCTGGGTTCGGGGCTGACAGGGCTTTTCCAGCTCAGCAGGAATTGCACAGCTGGGACTGGTGGAGACACCAGGCTCACGAGTGGTTTGAGCTACTCTGGAGAACAGCAGAGCCTCCACCACAGTGGGCTGGACATGGAGGAGTGTGCTGGCACCTCCCAGCCCAGCTCCAGCACCTCCCAGTGCTCCAGCACCTCCCAGCCCAGCTCCAGCACCCCCCAGTGCTCCAGCACCTCCCAGCCCAGCCCTGGCTGTGCCACCTCGGCCCCTCCCAGAGCTCTGGCTCCACAGGGACCCACAGGCTGAGCACAGCAGATGATGGTGGCTGCATTCTTCTCCCTCAGTGCAAGCTCTGGTTCACAGCAGCATTTCCCAAACTCCAGTGCCATTAAGGGTGTCACTTCCCCAGCACAAACCTCACTGTAACTCTCTGCTGGGGACTAAATGCCACTAAATGTCACCAAATTCACCCCCACGAACAAAGTGCCACCAGTGTCCAGGTGTCCTTCAGCAGACACAGATCTCTGACATGTGGAGAAACAGATCCTGGTCCCAACATAACACACACAGCCCTGCCTTGGAGACAGCACCAAATAATTCCTGGCTGCAGGAATTCACCTTCCTCTGTCCAAGCACCCCTGGTGCCACCATGGCTCTGTGGCTGCAGCTCCTGCAGCAGCTCTCACTGCCAGCCAGGGCAACTGGGACATCAGTAACCCCTGAATATCCCTGGATGGTGCCAAGCTCACAGAGCAGAGGGCACAGCAGAGTGCCGAGGGCACAAACTCCTGCTGGGGATCCTGAGCAGGACCCACGAGTGCCACAGCCCCTGGGCACTGCCAGGACGTGCCCTAGGTGCCCCTCAGTGAGACCCAAGCCTGGCTCCCCCTCAGTGGGGAGCTGTGCCTCCCCCTGTGCCCACCCCCACCACACATCACACCGCTCTGATTCACCGCAGCCGCCCCCGCTGGGGAGGCAGGGGCACAGCACAGAAAATACAACAGAAAACAGCAGAAAACACCTTCCCGGGCACTATGGAGCAGGCACAGCAGGAATTCGTGCTCCTGGGGGCCATTCCTGAAGTAACAGCAGTGGGAGAGGTGCCTGGAGCAGGGGCAGGCAGCTCCAGCCCCACTCTGCACCGTGCCCGTGGAACAGCCCGTGCCAGCGCTGGCTGCCACCCCCTCCCACCCACAGCTCCCCAGCAAACCCTTCCCCAGGGCTGTGCCACAGCCCCACCACCCCCATGGGTGTCCCCCCATGTCCCCAGCCCTACCTGCAGCTCCTTGTCCGAGTACTTCTGCGGGTTCTTGCTGCCCTGGCTCTTCTTGCGGAGTTTCTTCAGCTCTGCCTGGCACTTGTCCAGGGAGTCCCCCTTGCTCCTCTGCTCTGTCTGGTATTTCTTCAGCGCAGCCTGGGTGCCACAGGAGAAAGTTCTGAGCCTTGGCTGCATCTCCTGCTGCCAAGGGATGACAGAACCAGAGTCCCTGGGACAGGGGGACTCCCAAGGCCCAGAGATCACAGAGGGGACAATGTCCTGTGCCTGGTGACATGAGTGACACCCGTGTGTAACCAGGCTCGGTGTGCCGTCCCCCAGCAGGCAGCAGGTGACAGGGCAGCCCCAGGGCTGTGCCAGACTCACACACACACATAACTCACACTCAGGTAGCGGGAGTCCAGCTCCACCTTCTGCTCCAGCTGCGTCAGGAGCTCGTTGTGGAAGGACTTGAGCTGCAGGGAGAAAGGAAACACACAATGTTTGGGGAGGGCTGGCCTGGGGGACAGTGGGTGGCACTGCAGAGGGGCTGCAGGGGCTGAGAGCAGTGAGGGACAGGCTCAGAGACGGCCCAGCAGGGCTGAGAGGATGCCCAAGCAATGCAGACCCTTTGGAGCCCAGCAAATCCATGGCAGAGGGGCTGGTGGCATCTGGACACGGCATAGAAAAGCATTTCCCACTGCCAGGCACGCCAGGCTGGGCACTCACCATCTCCTCCAGCTGGTTCTGGATCTGCCTGTGCACCTCTGCCATCTGGAAGAGCACGTCCCCTGTAGAGACAGGACAGGCAGGGCTTGAGGCACCGAGCTCAGGGGACACCCCAGGGCTGGGGCAGCAGCACCCTCATGGCAAGGAGGGGTCCCCAGGCAGACCTGGGGGCTCCTGGAGTGCCCCTGTGCCCACCCTGGGGGGCTGCAGGGAGCCAGTGCTCACCTGGGACAAACAGATCAACCTTGGGAGGCAGGGGGGAACCAGGAGCAGCAGCAGGACCCAACCCCAGGAGCAGCTCCCCTGGCCAGCACAGGGACAGGCACAGCCCTGGCACTCGGAGCAGGGCACAGGACACAGGGCTAAGCCTTGGGATCCCCACTGCAGCCATGGAATGCCAGCTCTGTTCTGACACTTCCTTTGATTTTTCTTGTCCAAGGGCTGCAGCCCCACGCCCAGGGCTGTTCCTGGAGGAAGGGCTGCTCCTGCCTCAGCAGCCCCACACACACAGCAGCATCTTTCAGGAACAGAGCCAGCACTGAGATCCCTGTCTGTGGAGCACAGCGAGCTTGGGGACAGCCCAGCTCTGTCAGCTCTTCTCAGGGCTGACTCTGGAAGCTTTTCCTTCCAGCATGGCAGGTTGCAGCTTCCCAAGAGGCTCCCAGCCCCTGTGGAGCTGTTTGTACAAGAAAACCAGCATCTCACTGGGGCAAAGGAACGAGTGGGAGCCTCTCCCAGCCCCAGCCTCTCCCCCATGTCCCCCCACATCCCTGGGCACATGGGGGTCACCACCCCCAGCTGACCAGGACCAACCTGCCTCAACATTGCTGTGCTCTCCTGCCTGGAGCAGTTTGTACTTTGCACCACACTCTGTGTGTCCCAAACCCTTCTGCAAACATTAAAATCCCCTCCTGGGCAGGCACTGACCCCACAGACCCGGCTGTGGCACTGGCTGTGGCAGGACCACCGTCCCCAGTGTCCCCTGAACGAGCAGCACCGCCCAGGGTGTCCCACAAAGGGACAAAAAGCTGCAGCCCTGCTCCTTGCCCAGGCTGCACCGTGCCCACCGTGATTTTCCAGCCGGATCTGCAGGGGCTGAGGCGAGCAGAGCCCTCGGACCCCAGCACCACCCAGGTCTGCAGGGTCCCACGGTGGCAGGAGGGCCAGGCCAGGGGTCAGCACTGCAGGAGCACCAGCAAACCCCTCCTGCTGAGCTCCCACTGCCAGGAGCCACACCGAGGTGGCTTTGTCAGGGGGGATCAATGCAAGGGTGGCTCTCACTATTCCCAAAGCCTGCACCAGCCCCTGTCCCTCTCCCGTCCCGTTTGGCTGGGGTGGAAATCCCAGGAGTGCCGGTGGGGGGCTCTGGCCACCACCACAGAGCTGCTGACCCACCCGAGAGCAGGAGTGGGGCACAAATGACATCCATGTCCCCAAATGCAGCCCTGCTTCGGGACCAGAGGGCTCTGCCCCCCTCCCACATTCCTCTGCAGGGGACTGGCCCGTTCCCAGCAGTTGGGGTGGCTCATGGAGCTCTCTCAGCACTGATATCCATCTTTGGGCTCAGCTTTCCCCTGCTCAGCACCACCCCTGGGCTCCTAGCAGGGTGTTCCAGCCCCACATCAAAGGCAGCAGCACAGCCTGGCTGGGGGACGCTGCTGTCCCCCCTCAGCCAGCACCACGAGGTGGCAGGAGGGCAGCTGGGCACCTCCCCAGAGCCTTCAGCTCCTCTGGAGGAACCAGCTCCAGGCTCCCCACCAGCACTGCAGCCTAACTGGGACAGGGTTTGAGCTAAATCCCCTAAAACACGGTGTGAATTCCCACAGAGCACCTCTGCCACCCCACAGCTGCTTCACAAAACCCTGCAGAGCAGGGGAGACAGAGAGCTCACCTCAGAGCCAGCCCCGAGCTGCAGGGATGAGCTTGAACTGTGACCAAGGGACACCATGGCAGCTGGAATGCCTCAACAGCCCAAAACCCGACGTGGAAAAGATCCTGTGGCACCGTGCCAGGGGTAGCCTGTGCAATTGTGGAGGACTGCCCCAGGGAGCGTGGCACTCCCCTGGCAGCAGCAGAGCCACCCACGCCAGGGGCGTTCCGCAGCAGCTGCCAGAGGGATTTGGAGATTAAAGCACCTGAACTCCCACTGTGCAGCAGGACAGCAGCTCAGGCCATTCGGGAGCTGCCAAAACACACATGCTGCAGGTGGAGGAGGCCGGGTGAAGCAGCCCAGCTGCACCCAGGGGTACAAAGAGGGGCAGGGCAGAGCACGGGGAGGAGGAGCTGCTGCTCAGGGCTGACTCACAGTATCGCTCTGGGAGAGGAACCACAGCAGCTATTGTGGGCCCTTCCCTTCCACACCCAGCCCACAACAGGCAAACAGGTTGTTCCACATCCCTGCCACCCCTGCAGAAGGTGAGGCAGCGGGAGCCCAGCTCTCAAGGCTTTGCTCTGGAGCTGTCAGAGACCCGAGGTTATTTTCTGACCCCCCTCTAAAACAGGATGTTTCTAATTCGAATTTCCATTTCTAATGAAAACACCAACGATGCATTAAGCAAGGAGCAAAACTGCCCCGAGACAGAGGGTGGGCAGGGCTGCAGCAGCCCAGGCTGCCCTGCAAGGGTGGCAGGAGGTGGTGGCCAGTGGCCAGGGACCCTCTCCAGCAGCAGCTCCTGGGGCCAGGACTTGGGCACATCCCCCAAAAACCAGCCAGCAGTAACGCTACTCACACAACACCTCGGTGCTGATGCAGCTAAATTTAAGGCAAAACCCGGCGCAGGCAGAGGCGGCACCTGGGGGCACGGTTTAAGGGTGGCCTCAGTGATCCTGAGGGCTTTTCCAGCCAGAGCACTCCCTCTGAAGGCTTCTGCAGTGTATTTCTGTGTTCCCTCAGAGCAGCACGGCGTGCCCCAGGCTCACAGACCCGCACAGAGCAGCTGCCCAGGCCAGGGAGCCCTTCCAGCCCGGCCCAGGCTCTGAGCTGCAGGATCCCTGTGCAGGGGGAAGGACACGGTGTGGGGAAACAATCAGCTCGGGGAAACAATCAGCTTCTCCTCGCTGACTCATGCCTTTCCTCTCCACAACGGTTTCACTTCTGCCAGCCCCAGAGGACTGGGATGTGCTGATAACTCCTGAGCTGCTCCAGCCCCGCCTGGAGCCGCCCGAGGCATTTTTCGTTTGTTTATTGAGAGAGCAGGTAAAGGGAACAGCAGAAGCTTCCCAAGGCGCCCTGGTTTGGGATCCCCGTTCCTGGTAACCGGCCCCCTCAGGCTGGGCAGCAGCCACTGAGCCTTGCAGCAGGGGCACACCGCTGGGATGTAGCCAGGGATACATCTCTGTACACAGAGCATACCCTGGCATGCTCTGTGCCCCCCACAGCCCCCCTGGATGGGGCCACTCCTGGATCTGCAGCAGGATGCAGAGCCCAGTGCTGTGGCAGCAGCTGTACTGGTGGCACTGGTGGCACTGGCTCACGGAACCCCCTCACGCTGCCCGGCCTGGCCCCTGTGATCCGACACGCTGGCAGCTCCAGAGGGGGAGCAAACACCTCCAGGACCTGCAGCTGGCCACAACACCCCTCCTCAGACCTGCCAAGCTCCCCCCACGCTGAGGGACAGCAGACCCCAGCCCGTGGACACACACAGGACCACTCCAGCCCCCCCAAAAGGAGGGAGCATCCCTGCAGGACCCTCCCCAGCACAGAGCCAGGGCAGCTGGGAAGCCTGGAAGCTGTCACATCACCAGGGAAGGTGAAACCCAGACCTTACACACGCTGGCAGCCCCTGCCAGGCCACATGCTCCTCACAGATGCTCATTCACAACCCTCCTCCAGCTCCTCCCAAACACAGGTTGGTGAGAAGGAGCCTTGGCTGTCTCATGGCAGGGATGGAGGCTCTGGAAAAGCCCTTCCCGAGGCAGCAGAAAGCTTTCAGTGGGCTGTCCTGCATCTCTGCACCCTCAGCAACCCCATTCCTGCCCCTTCCCTTCCTCCACCACACAAAGCTGTCACCCACAAGGTGTCAGGTGCGTTGAGCCCAAATTTAAAGGATCCCCAAAAAGGATCCCAGCCAGGAGCTCACCTGCACAGCAGGGACACTGCCACAAATGACAGGAAAGCATTTCCTGGAGCTCGTGTCCCCTGGGCACTGCTCTGACTGCTTCCAGTGGGCACCAACCCACACCCAGCCACCCCCAGGTGCACGGCCACCTTGGGATCCACATCCCACCTCTGCAGGGCAGGAAGCACCTGCCCCAAACAGAGACAATCCAATTAACAGGCTAATCTCTGCTCCTAGGGGATCTGGTGCAGCACAGAGCCTCCAGGACAGACCCTGGAGCTGCAGGGGAGAGAGAGCCTGAAGCCAGGGATGCCCCTGGATCCATGGAAATGTCCCAGGCCAGGCTGGACAGGGCTTGGAGAGGGCTGGGATCGTGGAAGGTGTCCCTGCCCACGGGCAGGGGTGGAGCTGGATGAGCTGTGAAATCTCATCCAAGCCGTTAAGGTGCCACGTCCTGATTTTACTGTGGAAATAAAAAGCCATTATGTGCCAGGGGCTCCTTTCAGCTCAACAATGGCTGAGTAATTGCTGCCTGCGCTGCCCTTTCACAGCCCCGTGTGTCACACCCAGGGCAGCTTCGCTCTTCCAAGGGACCTTCCAGAAACCAGTGCTGAGCAAAATGCACCTCCAGCCCTGGAGGTTCTCCCTGCAGGTGCTGCTCGGCCCCAGCGTCCCGGGGGAAATGTCTCCAGCTCTGCTCAGCAGAAAATCCCCTTCCATGACTTTGCCGTGGCCTAGTTTTCAAGAAGGACAAAATAAATGACATTTTGAGCAGCATCCAAGGGACCTAGGCAGGAGCTGGACAAGGGCCAAAGTCACCTGAGGACTCATGCATGAGGCTGGAGCTTTTGGAAGGGGCTGCAAACCTTCCCTAGTCGCACACAGGCTCCTCACTGCAGGTTATTTTCCCTAAGACCACCACAAGCACCAAGGGGGTGCAGAACAGCCCGGGGAGCCTCTCAAGGGCACCTGCGGGCACAGAGCCCATCCCAGCAGGGAACTGCCCAGGGCAAACTGACTCCTGCTGCTCTGGGACAATGACAGCTCCTCCGGGGTTGGGAGCACCCCAAAACCTCAGCTCTGCCCCCCCCCAAGGCCCAGCAGGGGGGTTCAGACAGCCAGCAGCCCCTGGGAAGCGAGCCCCCAGAGCCGATTACAGCTCAGGGCATTACTGCTGCTCCTACTGCCACCCTTCCTTTCCCACACAGGATTATCCTGTCTGCACACAGCTCCCAAAATCTCGTGGGGAATTCAGGAAAAATGCCCCGTGCTGAGCAGCTGAGCCCAGAGCTGTGCTCCAGAGGGCTCCCTGTTCCAGGAGACAGATCTGCAGCTCCCCTGCCTCCCAGGGCCGGGCTTGGGACACTCCTGTGCCAGAAGGGACACCAGGAAAAAGCACCCAGCTCAGCAAAGAGAGGGCTTTGGAGAAAAAACAATTCTCCCCGGTTTTTCTCCGTGGAGGCTGGGAAGATGAGCTGAAATCCTGAGCAGAGCACTCCACGGCCCGGGCTGACACCTTGGAGCAGTTTTCCCTATAAACTCATGGGAGAAAATCCCACTCAGGGAGGGAGCTGGGGACACACCATCAATGGAAGCAGCAATTAAGAGAATTCCTATTTACTGTTCTAAAATGAATTCTCCATCCCTGGAAGTGTCCCAGGCCAGGCTGGACAGGGCTTGGAGCAGCCTGGGACGGTGGAAGGTGTCCCTGCCATGGCAGGGGTGGCACTGGATGGGCTTTGAGATCCCTTCCAGCCCAAAGCAGTCTGGGATGCTGTGAAATAACCCAGAAATAGGTTATCTCACTATCAGCACTGCCAGCCCAGGGAGTGACAAGGCAAAGGTGTTCCCAGGAAAAGCTGCAGCTCCGGCCAGCCCAGCTCTCAGCCCCCCAGCTCTCAGCCCCTGTTTGCACATCTGCTGGCAGGGGGCTGTGTCCCAGCTGTTATCAGCTCCACTGAGCTGCAGCCAGAAATTTTATCTCCACTTTCTCCTGCCCTGTGGAGCAGCCGCCACAGCAAATCTCAGCAGGATCAGCAGAGCAGAGGCTGGGGAGCACAAGAGCCTCCCTGGGATGTGTCCACAGGAGGGGAGGGAGCAGCGATTTGGGAACACTTTACACCCCAAAATACTCCAGCCACGCGGGGGAGAAGCCAGCAAGTACATCAAACCCCTGTCCTTCGGTGAGGAATCAGGGCCAGAGGTGCCCAAATCCAGGTGTGCAGCGTGAGCAAAGCTGGAGCTGCTCTGCAGAGCCGGCAGGGTGAGGCTCCGGGCTCCTGCCCTCTGCCCAGGCTGCCCCAGAGCTCCCTGCAGGAGGGCAGAGCTGGCTGTGCTCAGCCCCAGAGAGCAGCAGCAGCTCCTCCAGGCTCTGCAGCCCTCGCAGCACACAGGGCTCTTTGTTTTATTTATTAAACAGCAGCAGATTGCTCCAGGCAGCTCTAATCCACGACTCGGTTTCCATAGACACTTACTGCTCTCCCAGCACAATTCCCAGGCAGCAGCAGGGCTGGGGGAGCGGGGTCTGACTCCAAATCCAGAGCCCAGGGGCTGCTCCCCGGCTCCTTCAGCCTTCAGAGTCGTTTCAGCACAACCTCTCTGTTAATTGCCTGCCCCGGAGAGATGCTTTAATGAGCACTTTGCCGTGGCTGAGCCAGAGCTGCGGGAGAGATGGAGGGGGAGGAAGGCTTCACCTGGGACTGCTCAGACACCACAGCAAGGCACATCTCACTCCATGAGAGCCTTAACAAGGTGTAGCAACCCAGGGGGAGCTGGGAGAGCCACCTCACACCATGGGGGGGACCTTGGAGGGTCACCTCAGACCATGGGGGGAGGTGGGAGAGTCACCTCAGAGCATGGGGGCACCAGGGACAGTCACCTCAAACCACGGGGGGAGGTGGGAGAGTCATCTCAGAGCATGGGGGGAGCAGGGAGAGCCACCTCACACTGTTGGGGGAGCTGGGACAGTCACCTCAAACCATGGGGGGAATGGGGAGGGTCACCTCAGACCACAGCTGTGAGGAGGGAGGACACAGGAGGATGCCTGGGCAATAGGGAGGATGGAAAAAGCAGCTGCCCTTGAAAGGGTTTCCTGGGAACTAAGTGTGAGAAAGGGGAAGGAGGCAGCAGAGTCACAGCTCGTGATGTTTGCCATCGATTGGGCAAACACCAGTCCCTGGCACTGGGCACAGGGAGGCTCCAGCAGGGCAGAGCTGCTGCAGCAGGGCAAACCCCAGCCCCACCAGCACAGGGTGACCTCCAGCAGCACAGCCCAGCTGCCCCTGCCCCTCCAGAGGCCCCTGAGGGGCAGCTCAGCCCCAGCTCCCCAGTCAAAATCTGCTGCTTCCCCTTCTCCAAGTGAGAAAAAGCCACCACAAAGCTGGTTTCCAAAACCAGCATGAGCCAGAGCCCTGACACTGAGACTATCAGGGGGTTTTCCAAACTGCATCAGCAGTTAATCCAGAGACACTGCTACCACTGAGACAGGACTACCTCCACTCTGAGCTTGTGCTCCCCAGCATCACCAAAGATCTGTTTCACTCCTGGGCTGGGAATCTCCAGAAATCTTCATTTAGCAGCAAACTGGGGACTTACCCAATTCTTTCGACCCTTGGCTTTCACTGGCCAGCTCTCCCATCTTCACCAGAGCATCAAAGTACCCCTTTGCTGCGTAGGTCATGCCTAAAAAAAGCACCAAAAAAATGGAGATTATGCTTTCCTTAAAGGCTGTTAGAACTTCTGGGGCACTGAGGAGACTCTGGACACTAAAATAGGCATTACCTCAAAGGGCTCAACCCCACGGGGAGGGAGCACACAACAAACAGAGGAAAGGCAGCAAAGAGAGCTGGAGCAGTGAGATTACAGGGTAATTTAGGATTTAAAAAGGGCCATGCAGGACTGTGGTGGTTTTCATTGCAGTGCAAGCATCAGGCTGCTGGGAGAAATCACTGCAGAATAATTGAATATCACAGATTTTCATTATAGTTCAGCTTTGTTTGTTGACATTCCAGCTCCACACTTGACTCTAATCAGATAAGCAGGGGGTTTCCTCTAATCACAGAACACGCTGTACAGCCCCAGCTCCAGCCTTCCAACGCTGCCTCTGCTCTGCCTCCTGGGCTCTGCACTTCCTCCAGCTGCCCCCAGCTCGGGGATCCAGGGGAAGGATGACCCAAGCAAAGTTAAAAATTACAGGAAGATCCTTGGCTGCACAGCAGGGATGTGGGAAAAGCACAAAGCCAGTGATCCCAGTGGTTATCCCAAAGTGCCGTGGCTGGTGGCACAGGACAGCACGGGACAAACAGCTCCACCTCCCAGGTAGTTAAATATCAGGAGAATATTTCAGAAGAATAAATAAAAAACACGGTCCCACGGGTCAGCAGCTCTTCCCTCTGTCAGACCCTGCCTCTGCTGCCAGGAGGGAACCAGCAGGGAAAAGCAGGCCCAAACCACAAACCCCACTCTGCTGGGATCCCCTGGAATTTTGGGAAAGCTGCTGCCTGTGGGGAGGGTGCCCTGTGCCCCTGGAATTTCTGGAAGGTGCTGCCTGTGGGGAGGGTGCCCTGTGCCCCTTCCCTGGGGATCAGAGGTCACAGCCCTGAGCAGTGGGGCTGGACGGGCACCTTCCCGTCACGGTGGGTGAGCCATTAAATCCCAGCTCAAACCAGTGCCCACAGCTGGGTGAGCCATTAAATCCCAGCTCAAACCAGTGCCCAGCACCTGGGAACAGGGGGAGGGCTTAAAAATCCTCCTGGGAACAGCCAGGAGCCTCACTTGGCTTGTGGTAAAGGAAAGGTGCTGCAGGCAGGGAGCAGGAGCAGGATCCTCCCCAAAAGTCGGGTCCCAAACACCAAAGGGATTTCCCCCCTCCCTGGCTGAAGGTGATGACAGACTCTGCCCCACGGGCATTTTCGCTGTGATTATTCAAAAATGAAATCCAGGAGACATTATTCAAAAATAAAATCCAGGAGACACGTGCAGCTCTGAAGGGAGCAGAGCCCTCGTGGAAAAACACAGCTCTGGGTTGAGCAAAGCTTAAACCTCCCTAAAACCCAGCTGAGGAGGGCCCAGGCAGTGCACAAAGCCAGTTTAAGTCAAAATAGCCCATTCTGGGCTTTAATCAATTCCTAGCTTCCTTTTGATCACTTAAATCTACACCTCCCTAATGGCTCCCAATAGGACCCTGCATTCCCAATCAAGAGCTGCCATCGAGACTTTCAGGCTTTTCCCTTCTTTTCATTCTTCTGGGCAATTTAAACATTTCAATAGCACCTCTTTAAACGGAGCTTAAAACCTCAATTCTCAGTACTTTAAACAAACATTTAAAGTTGAACTGTTTGCAGATGTGTTTTGTTATCCTGCTGCCTCCCAGCATTTTCTCCCTGGAATCCCTCCTGCATCCATGGCCTTGCAGATCACCACCCTCCCAGTTCCCTCCCTGTGGGAAGGTGGAACTTTTCAACAAAAACCCAAAGATTTTCAACCAAAACCCAAAGGTTTTGCAGCTTTCCCCCCTCCCTAGCTTGGCAGCCCCAGTGTCACTTACTTGCTAAGGCTTTTTCATAGGTCTTCCCCATAGAAATGAAATTCCTGAGGCTGGGATTGAACTGCTCCATGATGGTCTAAAGGGAAGAGAACACGGTTGGGATTAGCAGGGATGATGGGGAGCGGAGTGAACAGCTCCGTGCTCAGCTCTGTCCTGATAAGCACAAAAAGAGAGCAAAGAAACCCTCCCAGCTCCCTGAAGAGGCCCCAGGATCCTCCCTCATCCTGCAGCTCAGTTGAGGAAGACCACGCTGGGTCTGAGCACACGAGGGACAAGAACGAGGGGGCTCTGCAGTGCCCCAGCACCAGATGCTTCCCAGGAGAGGAAAGTGAATGCCCCAACCAGAGAATTATCAGATATAGCGAAAATAACCATAATAGCAACTGTAGGGGCTGTTCGGGGCAGCAGCAGCCCTCAGAGCAAGCAGGGAGGTGACCCAAGACCTGGGGATGGTGGCAGGTGATGTCCCACTCCCAGGATGGCCACCGAGAGCAGCAGCCCAGCCCATCAGGGACGAGCAGGAAGGGCTGAAGAGCAGGATCCCAAATGTGCAGGCAGAATGAGGCAGAGCAGAGCCCCCCACGCCCCCTGAGCTGTGCCAGGAATGCCAGCGGGGTCCCTCGGGGGCACTGCCCACCTGCCCAGGGTGGGGGTGAGCGCTGCCTGAGCTTCCCTGCCTCGCCCCAAAGGCCTCAGCTCAGATGGGGGAAGGAATAATCGGATCAGGAGGAGAAAAAGGGCTCTTTGTGTGCTCTGTGCAGCCACAGCCCTCACCCCAGCCCATTGCCAGGGGCACATGCCTCAGTCCCAGGGCACAGCCCTCACTGCCAGGGGCACAGACCCCATTGCCAGGGGCACAGACCCCAGTCCCTCCCGCACAGCCCTCACTGCCAGGGGCACAGACCCCATTGCCAGGGGCACATGCCCCCAATCCCTCCCAGGCATCCTCTGCACCGGGCCCAGCCCCAGAGCTGGTCCCAGTGCCCTGCCCCACCTTGGGGACACCCTCCCACCAAGGAAATGGATCTCCGGGTCCGAATGCCCCTGGTGGGGGATGCACCACGGGCATTCCTGCTGGGAACGGGGGCTCTGCACCCCCAGGCTGCTGGCAGAGCCCAGCCCGGGCAGGGAGGGAAGACAGGCAGACACTTACGGGGAATAAGCTGATTAAGCATCTGTCACCTCATCTGAGGCTGCCCGAACACTATAAAGCTCATTTTCTGCCTGAGGCATTTTTATCCCAGTTCCTGCTGCCCGCCACTCGAGTCTGACAGCTGAATTTTCTCCCCACGTGTGCAGGGCTCAACCAGAGCCCTCCTGGCACCAGGCAGCCCTTTTAGGGTTCCTCCGGGCAGGACCCTGTGTGGGGAACCCATCAGAGGGGTGGCATCACCCCAGGGCTGCTATTTCAGGAGGAATCTGCTCATCCTTCCAGGCTGAGGATGGCTGCAATGTCCCCAAAGCCTGTCCCCAGCAGCCCCCAGGTCCTCACAGCGGCAGCCACAACTGCAAAGGGCAGAAGATTGACGAGGCTAATGAGGAGCTGCCCCGCTAATTAAGGCTGCAGGCCAACACCAGGGCCCCTGGAAGCTGTTTTGGGGCAGCTCAGAGCAGTTTGGTGGATGTGCTCAGCGTGAAAAGAGAAAATGAACCTGTAGCAACAAGCCAGGTGTTCTCCAACGTGTAGGAGACAATTGCACAGCAGTTAATTACCACTGCCAGGATTGCTCCATCCTGCCCACATCAGGTTTAACTCCAGCCCAAAACCCACCTGGGCTATCCCACAGAGCAGCAGAGGCTGGCATCGCTGCCCAGGGCAGGGACAGGGACGATTCCCCTGCCCAGGGCAGGGACAGGGACACAGCCCCACGCTCAGGCTCAGCCCGAGCACTCTGAGGCTGAGCAAGAGTTAAGCAGCAGAAACGTTGGCAGAATGTCTGCAGGGAGGAGATTTTTTGGGCGGTTTGCAGGTTCAGAGCAGTGTTTGTGTACGAGGACGTGCACAGGGATATGTAAATAGTGTGATTTTCTCAGCAGTGCCCGTGTAAACACATCGTCCTGAGCATGAAACCCGGGGAATTAAAGATGGAACAGGATCCGCAGACAAAGCACCGTCCAAAACTCAGCACATCTTGCCCAAAGCAGAGGGAATCAAAGCACAACCCTGCCCTGCCACTGCTCAGGGCAGGTCCTGCTCCCCACCGATCCACAAGAGATGTTTTAAAGCAACAAATAAAGAGATAAAAGCCCCCAAAGGGGTTTGTGGAGCGGCTGAAGGAGCGGGAAGGTGACTCTGTGCTGGCCAAATAAAATTCTCCAACCCCCAGGAGGAAGTTTGCTGAAAGTGAATGTTTTTAAAACATTGTCTGGAGCCTCCAACAAAAACAGCCTGGCAGGATGAGAGCGGGGAAAAGGGCTCCTCACTCCAGAGATAAAAATAGCCTTTTCCAAGCCCTTCTCTCACTCCCAGGGTGGGAAGGGAAGGTGACTCCAGAGCCTTCACACCCCCCTCCAGGTGAGAGCCCGAGACCCGCCAAGGAGAAACAGTGGGAAACAGATTCGTGCCATGGAATGGCTCAACAGCATCACCCCTCACACCAGGGATGTGCTGGAGCTGCTCCCCTGGCAACACAGGGCTCATCCCCTCCCTGGGGGCACCAGGGGCTCTGTCCCCCGCAGGACAGGTGAATCCAGGCTTGCAGGACACCAAGTGCAAGGCAAACATTCAGTAGCACTGTGGCAGTGAAAGCAAATCTCATTCTCCCCAGATTTTGCCCCCTCAGCAGCACCCACAAGTTGTTTGCCTTCCATGGGCTGCCTGGGCAGAGTTCAGAAAAACACAGCCACAAAACCTGGCAGCCAAGGGTTGAAAGGGCTTTGCTTTGTTCCACTGAGCTGAATTCCCTGGGTAATACCACTCAGCTCTCCGGGATTGGCACGGCTTTATTCAGCTGCCAAAAATGAAACTAATGCAAAGCACAAGGTCTCCAGGACACGGCCCTGCTCTGTGTGCTGGGGGAAGAGGCAACAGGAACAAGGTCCCTTTTCTGCCCTCTGAGCACACTCCAGCTACAGCCAGGATGCTCCAAGCCCGTAAATTAGCCCATAAGGAAAAGTTTAGAATCATGGGGAAGAATAAAACATCCCGAGCTGGAAGGAGCCCGCAAGGATCACGCAATTCCAGCTCCTCAAACCCAAGTTTAAGTCCTGCTCAAGCTGGAAGTGGCTCAAGCTTCTCCTGCTCACCAGCTGAAGGGCAGCGTTCCCAACACATCCCTGGAAGGGCTCCAAACCCACATGGATGTGGCACCTGGGGACGTGGCTCAATGGCCTCGGCAGAGCCGAGGGAATGGTTGGATCTGATGGACTCAGAGGGCTTTTCCAACCTTTTAAAGGATTTTCTGTCTCCCTGCAGGACTGACCCTGCCAGGGCCCAGCCATGGATTCCCTGGGTGACCAGGACCAGCAGGGGACAGCACCAGGGGACTCTCCACCGCCACACTGCAGAAGCAGCTCAGCCCTAAGGAAGTTTTGTGTCTAAATGGGTCAGCCCTGCTCCAGGAGCACTTTCATCATTTTGCTATCAATATTTAATGCCCAGCAAAGCCCAGTGCTGCCTCCTCCATCACAGCTTGTCCTGCCTGGCACCATCAGGAGCGGCCCTGGGGGTTTCAAGAGCCAAGAGTCTGTTAAGAAGGAGCCCAGGGAAAATCAGGGAAAAAAGTCAGGATAAAAAACCAATCCCTATCTAAAAGGCATTTAGTTTCTCCTGGCTGTCATGCCAGAGCATGAGGGGACCCAAATCTCAGGGCAAGAGCTCTGAACATCTTTGTGTTGGGGTCTGGGCTTGAGGAGAGCTGGGATGAGGATCCACAGGGGGCACAGAGCCCCCAGCACTCTGGGAACACCCTCAGCACCCACCCGGGGCCAGCCCTGCAAGGCTGGGCCATCCTCAACTCCTCGGGGCTGGGATCTCCCCCGAGGAGCCAGGAGTGTCCCCACGGAGGTGGCACCGAGGGCTGAGCCCCAGGCTGTGGCCGGAGGAGCTGTCTGCCCTGTGCCCTGCCCTGCAACACGAGCAGCAGCACTGAAACCTTAACCACGGGCAGGCTCAGCACAGCAGGCACCGAGGGCAGGGCAGCACCCGGGACACCCCGGCCAGGCAGGAACCTCAGAGCCCACCTGCCTGCAGGTGTCCCATCTCCAGGGAGGCCAGGAGGGCTCTCCCAGCCCGGGATGGATGGATGGATGGATGGAGCAGCATTCCCAGCTCAGAGCCCTGGCAGTGCCAGAGCCCAGCTCACCACCGAGCCCTGGGCTGCTCCCCACAGATCTCCCACGGCTGGGCTGCAGGAAGCCTCCAGGCAGGGAGTGCAGGGCATGGAATTTGGGCTGCCACAAGCTGGCTCCTTCCTCCTGTGCCACACTCATCATCCCTCCACTCCAAAGCCACAGTTTCCCTCCTGAACCCCTTGAGGAAGAATCGCTCCCATCCCTCTGGACATGAGGAGGAGAGGTGTGACAGTAACATCGATTACAGCTGATGAGGAGCTAAGGACCCTCAGGAATTCTGTCCACCTTTCTGCACAACAATTCAGCTTCGAGTTGTTAGGCAAACACCTCTTCAAAGGCAGAGCCACTCGCACACCATTGCAAACCCATCTTCCGCACAGAAAAATGGCTTTAAAATGAAATGGAGGTTGGGCTGTAAACGGCAATAATCTCATCTGGCAGGAGGAGACAGATCTGTCTTCGGGGGAAGGAGGATTTGCCAGTCCCTGCTTTCTGCAAAAAGACAATCCCGAGCAGGGGGCGAGCGGGGAGGGAGCAGAGGGAGCTGCCCATGCCCGCAGCCCGGCCCGGGGCTCACGGCAGAGCCAGCCCGGCAGCTGTGCCGCTACTCCGGGGTCCTGGCAGTGAATCAGCACCGCCAAAGGTGGGATCACGTTGGCGGAAGGTGCCAGCAGCCTCCGTCTCCCTCTGTAATTACTCCCCGTGTGTAGGCAGCTGCCTGTAGTGGCAGCATCGGCTCGGGGGCGGCTGACAGCTCCTCCACCAGCTCATTAGCACAGTCACTCCGAGGGTGAGCGCTGCTTGCTTCTGGAAAACCATGACAATGGGCTTCCCGAGCAGAGAGCCTCGGGAGAGCCTGCGGGAGCCGGCACGGGCAGCGGCCGCTCCTGCCAGACCGCCGGGACACGGGCAGGGAGCACGGCGAGGGTCGGGCACCAAGCCTGGGGGTCACCCAGCCTGGGCCCCTGTGGGCTGGGGCTCCGTGGCATCGCCCCTCTCCTGGGGGTTGTCTCCTCCTGCCCATGGCTCCTGTACAGGCCAAAAAAATACCTGGGTAATGGGGATTGAAGCGCTGGGACTGGTTTTGGAGTCAGACTCCAAAGGTTAAAGAGGTCCAGGAAAGCTCAGTGCCCGAGCTCCCAGCTGGGCTCAGGGGTGGCTGAAGTCCTCAAAGGAACAGGGACACGCCAGGTTCTCGCAGGCACCACATGGCACACAACTCCAGAGGCCGAGAAAGCATTGACGGCTTCAGAGCAGCCTATGCTCACCACAGGGACACAACCAGAGCCAGGACCACCCTCCTCCTGCTCCCAGCACCCAGACACTGATTTTGGGTGAACCCACGAGATCTTCAGCAGCTCCATCTCCTCACTGCCTGCACCTGGCTGCTCCCACCGGCATCCCAAGGAGCTGAGGTGTTCTCTGGCTGATGGAGACCTGCGGGCACGCCCAAGCCCTGGCTGCTGACACCCCGGGCAGCGATGGCTCTGCTCCGGCTGGGCCAGGAGCAGCCGGGCCAGCAGTCAGCCCCGCTTCCCTGGGGATGGGCTCCGCACGTGTGGGGACAGCACGGCCTGCCCTGCGCGCAGCCCAAGGGCCGGGCCCGGGGTGACGGTGACCTGCTCCCCAAACCTGTCATTAGCCCCGTGCTTCGAGGACTACACACCTCAAACAACAACTGAGTCACGGCTGGGGCTGCTCCCAGCCCCTGTTTGCCCAGGCAGCGCCAGGCCGGGCAGTGCCAGTGTACAAACGCTGGAGCAGCCTGGGTGCCAGCCCTGCCCCGAACCAAGGACAGCCTGCACCGGGGCATGTCCGGGCACACGGGCTGCCTGGCAGGGTGGGAGGGAGCCCTGGGGACCACAGCAAAAAAATCACCAAGATTCAGAGCGACCACGATTTCGGGTGCCACAGCTGTGCCTGAACAGCTGTTACACCCCAGAAGCTCCAAAACCAAGACTCCACAACTTCATTGCCCGGCACTTTCTGTACTACATTCTTCTATTTTTTTTTTTTTTTTTTTTCTTCCCTGCTCTGTGCTCCCAGGTAACTCAATCCAAGCCCTTAAATCACAGGAAATCGTGCAAGCTTCCCAGTTTAACAAACGACATCCTGCGTTACACGTTAGGCTACAGCAGTTTTCTTAGTCTTGGTCTCAAGACCCAGCAGAGCAGAAACCGCTTCCTTCGGGGGAAAGGCAAACCACATAAATTGTTGCATTTTCCCAGGACACCGGCAGCAAAGCAGAAAAGAAAAACGGAGAATTCCCGAACTCCAGGGGATGGGGAAGGCTCCGAGGGCTCTGGCTTGTGGCAGAGCAGCGAGTGCCGGCGGCGCGGGGCCACCCCGCTGCGGGGTGATGCGGGGACAGCGCTGCCCACCCGGGCTGGGACAGCCCCACGCGGGTCCCGGTGTCCGCGGGTCCCTCGGCAAGGCTGGGGGTGCCCGGGCAAGGCTGGGGGTGCCCGGGCAAAGCTCAGGGGTGCCCCGGCGGCCGCTGCCGGCCCGGCCGAGCGGCTCCGGGCGCATCCCAGGGCCGGCCCCGGCGGCGCCTCCGCGCCCGCTCTGCCCCCGCGCGTCCCGGGGAGGGGAAACGCGATAACGCAAATAATTCAGATAACTCAAATAACAGCCAAACGGCCAGGCGCCGCGCCGGGCACCTGTTGCGGACTCACCTTGTAGACATTCTCGGTGAGGCGGTGCACCTCCTCGGAGCGGGCCATGCCGGGCGGGCCGGGCAGCACCATGGGCGGCGGCGCGGGGTGCGGGCGAGCGGCGGGCGGAGCCGGGCACGGAGCGGGAGAGCGGGGAACCGCGGCCGCCGTGCCTTTTATCAGCTCCCGGAGGCCGTGCCCGCCCCGAACCGCCCCGAACCGCCCCGGCCAGCCCCGCGGGGAGGAGCCGGGCCGGGCCGGGCTGTGCCACGGCCGTGCGGGGCTGGGAGTACCGAGAGGAGTACGAGCATCGCGGGGGAGGGCGGGATGTACTGCGGTGTGCTCCCTGTGCGGGGTCCCATGCCCGTTCCCCGTGCCCATTCCCCGTGCCCATTCCCCATCCCCCATGCCCATTCCCCATACCCATTCCCCATTCTCCATCCCCATTCCCCGTGCCCATTCCCCATCCCCATGCCCATTCCCCATTCCCTATCCCCATGCCCATTCCCTGTGCCCATTCCTATTCCCCATCCCCAATCCCCATTCTCCATCCCCTGCCCATTCCCCATTCCCATTCCCCATGCCACACCCTATTCCATGGCCTGTTCACACTCCATGCCCCTTCTCCCCCCCATTTCCCATCCCACACCCCATAACCTACCTTACACTCCTGCTGTACCTCACCCCATAGCCCACGACCCCACGCCATCCCCCTGCTTTACCCCACTCCGTGGCTCTTGCTGTGCCCCACATCCCTGAGCTGTCCCACCCTCCAGCCCCTGCTGGACCCCCACTCTGGGGCTGTGCTCCATCCCCAGCTGTGCCCTGGGGAGCAGATGGGTGAGGAGCAGCTGGAGAAGGAAGAGCTGCCTGTGGTTTGTGGGATGTTGGGAAGGAGGATGCACATTGTCCGGGAGAGCAGAGGTGGGATGAGCCAACACCACAACTATGTCTCAGGATGCTCAGCCCAAGGGAGACCAGCCCCTGCCTGCCACCTCGCTGTCCCCAGGCTGTCCTGGCCAGCCAGGATTCCCTTGGGAGACTGCTGCCAGAACTCCCTCAGGTCCCTGTGGGATACACAAGCCATGCATCCCTGTCCCTGTCATGCCTCGGGCCCGTGACAGCAGATTTTGTCCAGGTGCTGAGGGACATGAGGAGCAGGCCCATGCCCTGGAGCCAGTGTCCCCATGCCTGTGCCCTGCCTCGCTGTCCTCCCTGGGCACGGCCGCTCTCTCAGGTGAGCCGTGGTTAAACTGAGCCTCAGGGCCAGGCCGTGCCCGTGGGCCGAGCCTTCCTCTCCCTCCTCTCTGCTGTGAGGAGCAGTGAAACAGTTAAGAAGCTGAGCATGCTATTTCCCCTCACATCTATCAATTCCGAGAACGAGGAGCCCAGGTCGATAGCTGGTCCCAAACCTCCCGCTGCTGTTCCCCTTCCTGGTCTCCTCCCAGCCCTGGCAAGGCCCAGGAGGGCACCGACAGCAGCTGCTGCCTCTGGCTGCCTTTGTGTCCCATTTTGGCTTCTGCCTCAGAGGTTCCACACTCCAGAGCACAGCGAAGAATTTACAGCCTAGGAGAAGGATTTTTCTCATGTTTCTGGAGTGACCAGTTAACCCTTTCCCACCGGGGCTGAGGAAAGGGAGCAGCTGTGGGACCAGGACTGCCCTGGGAGATGTTCCCAGGGGAATGCCTGGCTGCTGGGACACCACAGTGCCACTTTCCCTCTCCATCCCACGTGGCCAGACACAGTCAGCTCCCTCAGCCAGACACCAGCACCTCGCTGGCTTTCCAGCGCTGGTGAAGGATTCAGGATCAAGCAGCAAGGAGTAGAGTGCCTCTCTCTGCATCTCCATCACCTTATTTTTAGTTACGTTATGTAAGTTCTTCGCTACGTCATGGATGTGGGGGGTTCTTGCATCTAATTCCAGTGTGACAGCCCAGCAATTCAAACAAGCTGTTCCTCTGGTGAGGAAGATAAAAGGATTTGTAATTTCTGATAATAAAAGAGGCCTTTTGGGACGGCCCTCAGAGAATCTCTTCCATCTAGGCCTCCTCACAGACAGCCGCTCCAATTTCTTCCCCTGCTCTGCTTCTTCTTATCCTCTGGAATCTGAGTGCTGAAAACCTTTCTCCCTCTTATCTCCCCGCTCCCGGAGTGGCTCCATGCCTGGAAGCAGCCAGGGAGTTCATTTCCCCACACTCAGAGCCACATGGAACAAATTATCCTTGTCCCTGGCTCCTGCCCTGTCCCCCTCTCCCGGCTGGCAGCCGAGGCCGGGGCTGCCCGTGCTGCCCACGGCCGGGCGCGGTGCCCGGGCCCGCGGCAGCGCTGCCGCCCGCAGCCTCCCGCAGCACCCTGGGAATTCTCAGCAGGAAAAACCTGCCTCTGCCTCGTGCCGTAGCGTTTGCTTTGATTGCCTTTTATTTATTTATTTTTTTTCTCCTGGTTGCTGCTCGCTGCCTTTTTGTCAGGGTGATTCACTCCCCGGGGCTCGGCGGCAGCTGGAGCGTGCCCAGGGTAACCATGGTGCCGGAGTCCCGTGGGTTACCTGAATCCCCACGGTGCTTCTCCATGTGCCTGTGTGAAGGCGGGACCATCCACGGCAGGGCTGTGGGTGCCGTGTGGGGAAGCACCACGCCAGACTGGGAACAGCAGTGGGATGAGCAGGCAGCAGCCCCATCCCCACGATCCCTCCCCGGGGTGACGGCACCGCGGCACACGCGGCACCGGCCACCTCCAGCCCCGGGTGGAGCGAAGTTGCTGTGGCAACAATAACTTATGTAATCCACCCCGCTCGGCTGCAGGTGTGGGGAGGAAATTGTGCTATTTTCAAAGTTTCATTAGGTTCCTTCTTAATTACCACCGTGGCATCGTGCCAGCGCTCCCGGCCGGGTCACGCGCCCGGCACAGGGTGGGGACGGGGCAGCGATGGCCACGACAGTGGCAGCTGTGACAGTGACAACCGATGGCAGTGACAACTGAAGGCAGTGACAATCAGGGCAGTGACGGCCGGGGCAGTGACAACCGATGGCAGTGACAACCAATGGCGGTGACAACCAGAGCAGTGAAAACTGGGGCAGTAATGGCCAGGGCAGTGACAACCAGGGCAGTGCTGGCCAGGGCAGCAGTGGCTGGAGCAGTGATGTCCGAGGGCAGTGACAGCAGCTGCACCGAGGGACAGTTCCCTCCATGTTCCCGGCTTGGGGACACTCTCCCTGCTCCCGAAATGCCACCCTGGTGGCTGCCAGGGAGGGACACGGGACACAGGAGGGAGGTGCTGCAGGCCAGCATAACTGCCCAGGAAGGGGAACGTGGCACTGCGGGGTCACCGAGAGCTGCCACAACCTCAGCGACTCGGGATGCCTCCGGGACATGGAGAGAGGAGAAATAAAGGTGGGTTGGAATCCCTGGGGCATTTGAGTGGGATGTGGCAGTGGTCAGCACAGAGAGGAGGAAGCAGAGGGACCATCGTGGCACCAGTGCTGGTTTTTGTTACAGTCCTTGAGAAAATGCCTGGATTTTCCCAAGGAAGATCAAGCCCCAGCTGCTCCAGGTGGTCCCTGGGTTCTCTGGCACTGCCAGAGCAGGAGAGACCAGGCAGGGAATGGGACCAGGCTGAAGAAATCACCTCCATCTCCTCTCCTGCTCAGTCCTGCTGGCTCTGTGGCAGCCCTGGCTCTGTGTTCCTCCTTTTCAGAGTGTGCTGAAGGGGAAGGCCGAGCCCACCCAGCCCCCGTGCCCTGCACAGCCCGAGTGGGGCAGGTGTGTACCCGAGTGTCACCGTGCTAATGAGATTCCCAGGAGCTGCCTGTCCCATGGTCCTGGGCAGATGGCTTCTCCATCGGGGCCCTGACATCACTGCCAGCCCTCCCTGTGCTGTGTCAGGAAGTTTTTCTTTCTCAAATAATCTAAACGTGATTTTTCTGACATCTGGGGGTCACTGGGGAATCGGCCAGGTGGGTTTGAGCCAAACCAGCCCCCCACAAGCACAGGATGTGTTTTTCCTGAACACCTCACTCCGTTCTGTCCCCTGCCCTCCTCGGGGGCCCCTCCTCAACCCCAGGCTGTCCCCCACTTCCTCTGGAGCACCTCATTAAGGTGCTGGGCCAGCAAACCCCACACAGTACCAGGTCTTGGAGCATCCTCCCAAAACTCAGCTCAGCCTCCCCTGTGCAGGGCAGCCTTTGCTCACCAGGATTCCAGCAGGTGCCTCGAGCTGACAGTGAGGAGGTTTAGGTAAAATATTGGGAATAAATTCCTCCCTGAGAGGGTGGGGAGGCCTTCTCTGGTTTCCCAGAGAAGCTGTGGCTGCCCCATCCCTGGAAGTGTTCCAGGCCAGGCTGAACAGGGCTTGGAGCACCCTGGTCTAGCAGAGTGTCCCATGAGCTTTAAGGTCCCTTCCAGCTGTCTGGGTTTGAAAGGACAGGTGTCTGCTAAGGAAGGCAGGAGCCTCCTGTGAAATGGAAATGCAAACCCCCTCCTCTGAATTATTATGATTTTGAAACTAAGGGGCTCTCATGCAAAGATATGGGAGCAGGAATAACAGTTCTTTATTAGGAAAAATAAAAATACAAATGCAATAGTGCAAACAAAAATAAAACACTGCCAGAGCCAGAGCAGGAGCTGAGCCCTGTGTGTCAGGGTGGTGGCACAGTCCCATCCCATGGGGGCTCAGCCCTCCTGCAGTGCCAGCTGTGCTTCTGCTGGAGCAGGGATCCTGCACAAGGCTGGAGTTTTCCTCTGCAGCTCCAGGGCTGCTGGAGATGGGCCTGCTCTTCCTCTGGGAATGCAGGGCAGGAGAAAGCTGCTCCTCTGGGAATGCAGTGGGCAAAGGCTGCTGTGCTGTTCCAGGCTCAGATTGTATCCAGGTAGGAATGCTTGGCTCCTGCCCTGGGCAGAGCATCTCCCCATGGGATGCTGGAATTTGATCAGCCATGCAGGGACCCTCACTGGCCATGAACAGAAGATAATTAGTAATTACTGACCCATGAACAGAAGAGATCTCCTGGAGGGAGGATGGGTTGTGAAGAGATAAAGAAAACTGGCCAATGGACAGAAGGTGACTGCCCCACCTTTAACAGATGGTGATAGAATACACACCCAGCTACACCTGAGACACAGCCCAGCCCATTCCATGATTCTGTCACTGTTGGTGCTGGTGGGAGCT